CATCTTTGACTTCTCTTAAAAACTGCAGCACTGAATCTCACCAGCAGGTCATTGTCTGCTTTCTCAGAGATCTGACAAAAGACCTCCCAAATCTTTTGCATATAATTATCTGGTTGCCCTGAGGCTTCACAACCCCTGATAGTAAGGCTATGCAGGCCTTTACAGACAGCTCCAGCATAGTTGCCACTGATTTATAGTTGGGGCTAGTTGGGGCTAAGTACAAACATCAGAGTATGCTCTACAGTTTCCTTATCACTAGTGAAAATTAATACATTTTTCTCCTAGTTGCTGCATTCCTCTGTATTTCATATATTAAAAGTCAGGACTGTATTTCATATCCTTTACATAAAGAACAGCTTCTCTCTCTTTTTTTTTTGGTGGGACCAGATCCTTTAGACATTGTCCTAGTCTGTTCTGTGTTGAAAGTTGACAAATTCAGAGGAATAATTATTTCCCAGCAATAAATGTTGAAATACAAGGTAGGAATTTTCAAAGCCTGCTGTAAGACCTGCCAGAAGATGCTTCTTTTTGTTATCACTGCTCAAATTGCATTAGTGACTGTGTTGAAAATTATTTCTGTACTTTACATGTGCCAGACAGCTTTGCATTTGTTCCTGCACCAAAAGCTAGCATGTCCCTGAAGAGTCCAGAGCTGACAAAGCAATTGTTTAAGCTCTCACATAATCACCTCCAGGCAGTTCTGGCTGTGTAGCTCCTCTTTGGAGTCCCCCACTGTGTGGCAGTCTAGATGGATGGTACTGCAAGCACAAAAAGTAACCTGCTTAAATGAAAGTTCTTCAATAGCTGTAGTCCGCTTTTTACTTCTCTGCAGAGCCCTTCTGGTATAGGGCTGCACTGGGAGCCTTTCAGTTAAAAGGAGGATGAAGAGACAGGGGTGTGCTCAGCTCACTGTAGCCTTATGCTGAAAATTAGCTTTGAGGGGAAAGGTGTTAACTCATTTGCAAGGTGAAATTGTTTGTAGTTTTGAGTAATGACACCTGTGTACCATCATTGGCTCAAATAGCCAGTATGTCGAATGTGTGCAGTATACAACATGCAGTCAGGTAGCACTTCTCAGGTTGAAGAATTTAAAGTTATATGACTTGTCTTTTTTGGCAGTGAGATTTGAATTTGAGGAAAGGTTTTTGGTTTATTTGGTTCAAAGCAAGATGGTGTTTTCAGTTTCCTAAGGGAAACACTTTCCAGTTTAGGTAGGTCCTGGTTTAGTTAAAAAGGGCTTGGGTCGTTCTTATATCCTATGTGAAGATTTTGAGCACCCTAGAGCATCAAATGACTCTGCATATGTAGAATAACTAATTAAATTGAGTGGTTTAAGTCTAAACGATTTGGAAAATGGGTTTGAACTTGACCATGAACTTAGACAACAACATGCCTTATAAAAGATGCTCAATTACTGTGTTTCTGTGTGGGAAAGCCATTCTAAGAAGAAAGAAAAAAAAATTAAAATATAGGGAAAACAGAAACTGAAATTCTTTTAAAATATACGCTGACGTTTCAAGTTCCTATTGCTATAGGAAGTTCCCATTGCTGTGGGTTCCTGGATATAGAAGAAGAAAACCTTTTCATCTACCTGTTTGGTTTTGTCTAAAGAAAATAAGTGAAACAAGCCAAACGTCAGTAAGTTCACAAAGATCTCAGCTTAACACTATTTATACAGAATGGCTAGGCTACTGATGTGATTTTTCTCCCAACCTGATTTGTCCATGCAAACTTCCCATATACACATAAGGCTCAATGGCATTAATAAGAACAGACCTCACATATGTCCTTTCCTATATCCAGCTGCACTCCTGGACTCACAAAGCATCTGAATGCTCTTATAATGACATTGTCTCAGATTGTATCTTACTTACTAATACATTAATTCCTTTTTCCTGAAAGATGGCTTTGATATTATAACTTACATAGTTTATCAGTGAGGTGGTATTTTTTTCCTGAGTGATTTCTGCTTCATAACCTAAATACCCATATTTGTAATAATAAGGCATCTTCTATTGTGGAAGAGAAATACCTAAGAGAGCAGCAAGTGCATTCTCCAGTACTCACAACTAAAACTACGGTGTCTTTGTTACAGAAAGATTAAACAATTTTTTTGTAGGCAAACAAAGATTTGTGTGCCTTACATCTACTACTTTTAACTTTACAAGATTTCAAAAATCACTTACTTAGTGAAGATTTTAATATTTATCAAACTTGAAAAATGTATGTCCAGGGATTTTATCAAGCTAGTCATTGTAACTCAAAAGGTGTGGGTATACTAAGCCATACATACCTCTCACAGAAATATATTAAGCTACAGGACTTCCAGACAGCCATCCTTTATTAACTTCTATACTATTTAGACCTGTCATTTAGATCACTTAATGCAGTGTTAAGGGCAAAATCTGTAAGATCTACAAGGGCTCTGTAATTTCTAATTTCTATGACAATTTTTTTGGGAACATATTAACTACATATTTTAATGGAGAAAATAATACAGATAAAATCTAAAGTATTTGAATGGAGTTTTTGCTTGTTTTCATTTAATTTTCATTTTATAGATACCAAATAATTAGTATTTACTCACACTAAATGAGACACAACTAAAATAGAAACAAAGTCAGCTTTCTACATATTGATTGAAAAGGAGAAAGGAAAATGTTAGAGTAAGAAGTGGGAGTGCTTTGATCAGGCAACAGGTTCAACTTTGCAAGGGTTCCTCTGTGCAGGTTTAGGTTCAGGGCTTGTCATTTGATGAAGAGTAAATGTTTTTGCAAAATAACTGAATTTTTAAAAATATAAGTAATTTCTATATGCTAATGGGTATACTGGGCTAAATGTGTCTAATCTTCAACACATATGGTATGTGGATGGACCATGCATTAATACCTGTGTAAGAGGACTCTTAGAATAAGCAGAAATCAGTTACATCAGCAGATGAGCCTGGACCAATGTTGAAAGGCCCCAGGTAATACGTAAAATAGGCAATTTGTAGACTGGAACTCTTGCTATCATCTGGTTATCTCTAAATGTATATTTATGAGGAACAGTTAGACCCTCATGAACTCACTGATGATTTCACTCAGTACCCCTGAAGCAATGTCTGGAGGCAGAGGTAAGACTAGAAATTCTGTGACAGAAGTACATTGAGCAAAATGTTATTAGCTTTCAGAAGAATATTTCTTTCCCTTTAGCAGGACAGCCACACTTTTATCTGTAATACAGTCAAGATGTCAACATGCACAGCAAAGAAGTTTTGGTATGAATTTCCTGTTTTTAAATTCCTTTAAAATTCCTTTCAAGAACCAAGAAACTGAGTTAATAGATTTAAAGCAGACCTAAGTATTACCTAGAAAATATAAAGGAATTAAGACTTCAAAATAATTTTATGAGGTCACTTTAACACTGTTTTTGTGAAAGAAAAGGCTATTTAATATGTTAGAACAGTTCTGCAATGTGTAAGAGACAAAGTGTTTGAAGTGTCTTTTTCAAAATAAGGCCTTTGTATTCTGAATGTTTTTTTCTTTAAAATGAAAATGAGACTTGATTTTTTTCTTTTCATATAGCATATGCAAGTCTATATATTAGAGAAAACAAGTGAAAAAGATTATATTTTTTATTGTACATTTATCCTTCCAAGGGAGTATGTTTTACTTTTCTAAAGACTTCTTAGTTAAATGTCACTATCACACTGGTGTAGGTTCAAAGAAATAGGTTGAATAATGTCAAAGCAGGATCTGAAGTAACGGAAATAAAAAAATATTGTTTGTGGTCTGTACTAAAAAGAGCAGAGCTACTTTGCTCTAGTGTTCTTTTTGTTATGAAATTTGATAGAAAACTAAGCATTTGTTTCCTGCATACGGTATTATAAAAATATTATGTAGCATGTAGTAACAAAATGTTTTTCATGTAACAGGTAGTAACGATGGTAAAGACAAAAAAGAGAAGTTTAATAATGCAAAATGTGTGGGCATAATTTACAGTTGAAAGTACTTACATGAAAGAGAATGTTTTATTAAAATACATGAGTCATTCCCCAATTCTATGGACAGCAGCATTAATTTAGACCTTTTCTTCAAAACTGTTTTTCAAACCTTTTTTCCTACCATGTAACTGCCATGTAGGTTAAATTCTGATTCTATAAAATATTTATATATTTTGTCAAATCCCTACACATTCCCAACTATGGGGTATCTGTACTTACTAGAATTCTTCCTGATATTTAACCAGTAGACAAAGAAAAATTAATATACTTTTATTCTAGATATAATTTCTAGATTTGTTTTTCATTTAACCTTCCTTAAAACATCATCTACTGTACAGCGAATGCAGAGTGCCATTGTGTTAAGTATTTTATTGAAGCAATTAGAATAAATACTAATTTGTGTCAGAAAAATACGTTCCTTAAGACAGAATGGTTCCTTCAGATTGTAATGAAAATTCATTCCATATTCAAATGCTTTCCCTTATGAATATTCTCTTAAAAATACGACACAATTTGCCTTTTCATTTAATTTACTGTTAGTAACTTTGTAGGGACAGTTAAAAACTCTGAAGTAATGATGCTTTACACTGTACATAATTTTGTGCACACACAGACATGCACAAACTTACCTCCTTCCTTAGTGTTTTTCATATTCCATGTACTCTGTTGTTGGAGCCTTAACTTTTTCTTGGAAGCCCTTTGCAAGTCCAGCTGGAAGGGGTTATGAATCAGATAGGATTATCAGAAATCTTTACAGTTTTACTGTATCTTTGTCTGTCCTTTCTTTCCCCTTTCCTTTACTGCACTATCTTGTCTGTCTGATTCTCACAGGAGACATGGATTACAACTGGTTGGACCATACGTCTTGGCATAGCAGTGAGGCATCCCCAATGTCTTTGGTGAGACATGTGGAGCCTTACCATTTAGTTTCCTTTACCATTTCACATTTCCTTGGTTTTATTTACACCTTTGCATGTTTTCTTTTTTGTATCCTTTTTTTATCCCACACCTATAGGGGACAGTCAAAGGGGAAAAAGAAAAACTAGTGAGCAGGCAGTTTTGTCGGATTCTAACACCTTATCCGAGAGGCAAAAGAAAATGGTGTGCTTTGGTGGCCACTCTTTGGAAGAGGACTTGGAATGGTCTGAGCCTCAGATAAAAGACTCTGGGGTAGATACGTGTAGTAGCACAACCCTAAACGAGGAACATAGCCATAGTGAGAAGGTACTGAGATTTTGGAGCCTGCATTTTAACCTGCTCATTTGGTCTTTGTTTGCTCTCTGTCACTCATTAAAATAGTGCATAAAGTAAAAGATAGGGTGTTTCTAGAGATGATATAGCATTTCTTAAGGTGCAGAAAAGAAAAACAAATGAAAAGTCTTTGCATGCTTGCAGCTTTTACCATTTGGCAGCCTAAGGAAAAAAATTGAGAGGCATAAAGGAATGTTGTTCTCATTGTTACAAAATGGCATATCATGGTATTACCTTAAAGCATAAAGTAATTAACAATAAGGATTCTACCAATTGGCTTATTTGATTTATTATGTTCAAACTCCTGGGGCTGAAATTAAATTAATAGTTTAAAGCCCAGGTGAAAAAGGGAGAAAATTGGGTCTCTCTGCACAGAAAAGTTGTTTTTCTTTTTTCCCTTTCACTGTCATGGTTGTTCATTTGTTTTGTTGCCATGCGATTTTTGTGCAGTATTATGCAGAATTAAAAGCTTTGCCATCTGCTTTGGTATATTTTATTTTTGCTTTCTGTTTGGTGGAGATTATACAAAATCTTTTTAGAGTTATTAGTTGTAATGGGAGCAGATTTATCTGTTGCCTGCTAATTTTGCATGAAATAGAGCATGAAATATTGTTTTTCTGTGAAAAAGTACTATGATTACACAAAAGAAAATCTTAAAAAATTATTAATTATGCCAATAGACAAATATAACTGTGCCCATACGGAGTAATGGAATAATAATGTTCACTGTAGCTGTGTTTCACATGTGAATTAATTATTCCAAGAAAGAAACAGAATGTTTAAATGAAGAAATGACTTTACCTTTTCATGTATGTTGTAATTTTAAAAAATATTACTACTGAGAATGTAAAACACTAAATATGTTTGTTGGTCAGATAAAAATTGACATGTTTGTAATAGTGGAAAAGAAGAAATTTCTTACATCAAATTTTTGGTTCAAGTTAAACTTCTTTTCCAGTATTACTCCTATACTGGACTTCTACAGTTGTTTTTCTCAGTACTCAGGTGTGATTGTCATTGAGTGTAGATAACTGTGTATAGTTGTCTATATCTGTCAAATCAAGATGCAAAAATCATTCTAGATATTCACAAATTGGATTTAGTAAAATAGATAATGTTATTAAATATTAGACATACATTGTAATGAACTATATACCCAAAAGAATATTTTCCAGCACAGTTTTCTGTCATGCTATTACATTAAATATTATTGTAATCATAATACTTTCATGGCATTTTAAAAATATATCAGGAAATGAAAAGTATTACTGAAATATTTTTCATTAAAATCCTATTCACTGTATTTTCCATTAACACCATATGATAGCATCCAGTAACTTGGCAACCATCCAAAGATGGAGATCGTCTCATTGGTCGGATTTTGTTAAATAAGCGACTCAAAGATGGAAGTGTGCCTAGAGATTCGGGAGCCATGCTTGGATTGAAGGTTGGTAATGAATAACTTTGGAACTAACTACTCTCTTGGTTAAATTAACTACCTTTATAATAAAAAATATTCTCATATAGCATATGCATGAAAATATCAATAATGTCTTATCATTCTGAAAGTTAAAAGATAGACATTTTATATTCAGTTACCTAGAGTAGTTTTACTGGGTCATTGGCATGCTCAGAAAATTGTATTTTTCTGAAAGACTAGACATGTTCTCACAAGTATTCTGAGAATGTGTTCTTAGCAAAGTACTAATTGCATCCTTGCTAGGCAAGCCAAGTCCTGTCTTTGCTCTTTGATATTGAGCACTGCACCATGGTACAATGTCTATTCCCAAAAGAGAGGAGAAAAGTGAAAAATAAATTATCGCTCTTGAAGACCAGAGGGACATTTGCAAATTAATGACATTTCAGTACAGATCAGAGTCAATGTAACAGCCTCTTTCTGGATTTTTCTCTCTTCTGATTGTTTGATTTGCCACATTAAAAAAAACCAGCAAAAACAACCAACCAAATAAAAAATTACTTAGCATTTATTAGTTTTTATAGTGAAATAATGTATTCACCTCTTATTCCTATATTCACCTCTCTTTCATGATGCAGTGCTCTTTAAACACATTATGAAGCTATTTCTAGCTCACATCTTGATCTCAGTTTTGTAAGGTACTGCTATTTGCAGTTCCAGAAATACTAGTACAAGACTGAGAATGAATTATACAGAGTAAAAGAAACAAACATGTATTTATTTTGATTCCTCATCCTTGTTGTGAGAAATTATTAGGAAGTTTTAATTTTCTGTTCTCTATTTAGCATGACTCTTACTTCACTTTGAGTATACAAGTTAGGCTATAGTCATACCCTATTAATGGGGATTAAATCAGTCTAGTTACTTATATACTAACATGCTTTGGAAATATTTCGGGTTTTATTTAATTGACAAATATTTTTGTTTGAAGTCAGTGGACAAGCCAGTGGGACATCAAATTTTGTGTTTAATTTTGTCTTAATATCAGAAAATTCAGGAGAAGCAACTAACAGTGCCATTATGAAATACTTTTTGTTTAAACGTCTATGTTAAAATTTCTAAAATCTTTTATTATTAAGATGAACTCTTCACTGAGAGTCATTAATAGTTCAGATTTAAGAGTAAACTGCTTTTTAATCTCAATAAACCTCTGAAAAGAGTGATTTTCATCAGTTATTCCTGACCTCAATTTTCAAATATTTACATACTGAAAGTAAACTAAACTGAATTGAATGTAAAAAATTTTAAATCTCAATATGAAGACTGTTAAGAAACTTTAGGAATTTGAAAATTATGCAGTTATGACTTGATTCTGACCTACTATTGATTCTATAATATTAAAGTTAAAGCTGCTGAAGTTTCCCATAGAGAAATCTTCGGTATGACAAGTGTTTTCATCTAAATTGCCCAACCAAAGGGAATTTCATCAATTGAGATGTTTGATGCTTAGTATGAACATTGTGAGTTCTGTTATATTAATATAACTTTTTCCAGGTAAAAAAGTATTGAAGTAAGCAGTCTAGTAAGTGAAGTAAGCAGACTAATACCTTACATTGTTTTTGGGGGCAATTTATAATACAATGAAATACTATGTGTGTATTTGTTAAAATTTAAAAGCTTTAGCATTCTGTATTTGCATTGTTTTTAAATTGTACAAATTTCCAGAATGGCTACAAAAATAACCTGTCATAGCCAAAATTCTGTTGTTTTTTTCTAAGTGCATCTGTCTTACCTGAGCTGCATAAAAACTAAGGAAAAAGCTGAATTATTCTTCCTGTTGCCTGAACATTTAAGTAATTTAAAGTAATTTTCATTCTATGAAAATATTTCCTCTTTGAAACAGGTAGTAGGAGGAAAGATGACTGAATCAGGTCGACTCTGCGCATTTATCACCAAAGTTAAAAAAGGAAGCTTAGCTGATACCGTGGGGCATCTCAGACCAGGTATGTATCTACTTCAGATCTATAGTGCTGAGTTGCTTTCCTGAAGGTGATAACAACTGAGTAAGTTTAATTAGATGTGAAATTATGTTAAATAGGTCTGATGAAAGAGTGCAGAATTCAACCTGACTAGACCATTGCTTTTGTGGAATATATACATAAATATATATATATATATTCTTGTGTTGTTTAAAAACTACTTAAAAAATTTTGCTCATGATTTTATATTCAATATCCTGATATCCTGCCCACTCATTTTGTGGTGTATAACTTTTTTAGAGCAAACCAAGCTATTATAAATGTCTGAACAGAACCAGCTTGGCTAAGAAGCTGCTTCTATCCCAAGATGCAAACCATAGATTGCTAGATTGGAGAATGTTCAAGAAATGTTAACTATTAACATAAGAACTGTCTGAACCTTAAACCTGTAGAAGTAAATGCATCTTTAAAACAGTAAGTTGATGAGATATGCTGTTCTAAAGATGTGAATTTTCTGAAAAGCATATGAGCCACAGCTGCCAAACTGAGCCTGAACTGTATATTACTCAAAAGGGGTCCTACTGACAATATTATTGTTTCACCCAACTTTACATATATAAAGCATAAACCTTTAATACTCAGGATTTTACTGCATGAAGGAGTTCTACAACACAGGTTGTTCTACAACACAGGTTTCCCAATTCAGAAAACTGACAATAGAATGGCCTAAATTGTCATTGCAAATGCGTTCCATAGCAAACTTTGTAAGCATGTTATTACTGAAATTTCAGGTGATGAAGTGTTAGAATGGAATGGAAGGCTACTGCAAGGAGCCACCTTTGAGGAGGTATATAACATCATTTTAGAATCCAAACCTGAACCACAAGTGGAGCTTGTAGTTTCAAGACCAATAGGGTAAGTAATTTAATAATTTTTTTGTATTAAACATGATAAAAGTATTGCTAAATTTCCCTTTTAGGGCAGAGATATCAAACATTCATAAACACTGTAAACAGTAAAACTTTTAGGCAGGATTCATTAAACCAAAAGCATAGCTAGAATGAGAGATCATATCAGTGAGTAAAAAGAGCCGGTGTGAAATCCTGTATACTCTGAGAGAGTGCCAGCTAGGTTACCAGAGTACCTGCTAGGTTACCTTCTGTGACTATTCACTTGTTGATCCAGCCTATAGTGGCTCTTTAACCGTGGTTATACTTTTTGTTGTAATTCTTGATAAAATTATAGGATCATATTTGGTCTGTGGACTGATGATGAACCCTATTTTTTGGGAGTCTGCAATGTAGAATTTTGCACAAAATACAGTATGCTAATGGTATATTCTATATGCTTCAGAAGGTCCTAAATCCAAATTTGCATCATTTTCATCTATGGAAATGATTTAATTATTGCTTGTTATCTACTACAGAATATATCTGAATGAATAGCTAGGATTGTGTGGGAGTTTTTCTTCAGTGCTTTACACTGACTATTTTTCTTAACCTTCAAACCTATCTCTCAATGTATAAACTTAAATTTTTCTTGCATAGCAATAGTAGCTTTGTTATATTATACTGTGAATAGTTTCCCTTCTTCATCTGTTCTTTTTCTCCCAAGTTCCTACACGCTAAAGTCATATCTATCACTTTTTTACTCCACTGGAAGTTCTATATCTGATCACATCAGGGCTGTGAAGAGGGAAATGCTTATCACTGCATTTGAAGATACTTACAGTTGTTAAGAGTTTTCTTCTTTCCCCCCAGAATTTATTGTGATGTACATGACACAAGTGGAGAGGGTGCTAAGTAATCTCATCTAGGCTTCCTTTTCCATATGAGGTTGGACTAGATGATCTTTCAAGATCACTTCCACCCTGGGCTGGAAGGATTCTATAATTATATTTTAATAAATATATTTAACCCTTTTTTTTTTATACGATGCACACAATTATCAAACCTTTATATACAAAGGCATGGGTAACATAACAACTAAAAATTGAGAAGTACTAAAAAATCCAGAACCCTATAATATGAGAATGGAATTTCAGTGAGGATAATTTGTTATTGTTTCAGCTATAATAGGAACTTAATATGTTTGATGTATCAGGAACTTAACGTGTAGGACTTAATTTGGCATGACAATTTTAAACAAACTTGATAATAACAAAAACTGCTTTATCTTTTCAGTGAGATGAGAGGTTATTTCCCACATACATATGAAATTGCAACCCCCCTTTTAGGGTAAACGCTGTATTATCTATCCTGTCCTTAAACACCTTTGCATAATTTGGGAGTTGTAAGTATAATAATAGTGCTAAGGGACAGACTACATCACTAGAAGAATATTGTTACAGAAAAAGAGGTCTCAAATTAATTCCATAGAGGTGTCAATCTTCCATAGTATCTCTCAAACAGAAGTTTGTAGGAAAATTTCAAGGAACCTTTCACTCATGTCTTGAAAATACTTGATTTTTTTATCTTTCTACATTCTCTTCATTGTGTGAAACCTCCCGCATTCTTTCCTGTGCTTTTATATTTACTGTCTGTTGTTTACCTTCCTTGCATCATGTCTTCTGTTATGTTACCATGTGCTCCACTTGCTGTCACTAGACCAGCTCCTCTGTAATTCCTTAACCAAAGTGATGTGGGCTCTCAAGGTGCCTTCTTCCACACTAACTGCTTGCCTCATAGTCTGAAGAGCTGAGAGATCAGTGATCAAACAGTTGTTCAGTGTATTTGATTCCCAGTGTCTTGTTACAGTAGCTGTAAAAGTCTCAGTGATGAATACTTTCCACAAATTGGTAAGGTTTTAGAATCTGGGTAGGTGCGCGTAACTATTTGGAGTCTGATATTGACAACTTCAGAATTGTTCTTCATGAAGTTTGAGCTGATGAACTGGAAAGACCATATTCACTTCTCATTTTAGAAAATTTCAGTTCATAATTGAATGGACAATAGAAATTAATACCCTTTGCTTGCCCAGCAAAGCATAACGTCATATGTTTGTGTTCCACCCAAGGAAATAAAGTTTCAGTGTATTTAAAATCATTTAAAGTTCATATTTGAAGGTGTCAGAAGTGATATTTATTTCCATGAGAATAATTACTGCCCAACTGAAGGATTTCATTTTGCATTGAGATATATATCCTGTTACTTACAGACTCTGTTGATGGTCTCATAGCAACACTAAATCATGCCAGAAGTCTTCAGTTAGTAGCAATTAACCTAGCTGAGAACCTGTTGTCACATCCTGATATTCTGAGTACAAAAAAAATTCCAGTAAACTCAATTCTTAGTTCTCTTTATTATAGGCTGAGTGCTATGAAAACTGAAAATGACAAGCTAAACCGATAAAGGCAGATAAAATGGAAAGCCATTTTACAAAAATGCAACAGCACAAAACATGCCATTTTGCCATGAAATTGACCTCTTTTTTATCATTTTAAAATAAAAATTGATGGCTGAATTGCTATTAGTGTGAGCTGACTGTTCCTTATGCACAAAAACTTACATATTTTTTGCTTTCTAATTCTCAGAAATCGTTAATTTGAAGTGCATGATTTTTTCTTGGTTTCTATTATTATTGATTTGGTAGAAATGGTGCACTACGTTTTAATAATTACGCTACACAGTCTGCTTGCAGTGGAATGTATCTTAAAATGCAAGATGTCTAAAACTCCTTCTGCTTCTCCTATATCTGTTTATCTCAATGAGAGTTCCTTGTAAGAAATAGAATTCATGCTACCATGAAATACTGAGATCTGTATGCTTTAGGAACAGTGTTCAAAGCTTTCACATTTATTGTTACAGCTCTCTATAGAAAACTCATATTCGATCTGTTCACAATGATAATTATATGTTTTCATGGTTTTATTTTCAAACTCATATGATGGAAATACTTTTTTGAAATTTCGAGTTAAGCTAAGGATTGTGTTTGAGTAAAGTAATGGGCGAGTATTGGATCCCTTTATAAATTCTACACATATCAAATACACAAACTTAAATCTTTGCTTCTTCAATAGCCCTAATGAGTTCTGACAAATCTGGTTTACTAAAAACAGAGATTTATCTTGTCTGCAGTGGACACTTAGAGCAGTTGCCTGCCTTCTGATTTGCTTGAATTGTTGGATGCTGTGCATCAGCTCACTCAATCTGCTTAGTAAAATATTTTTCTAGTAAGTCAACAAAAATGTTTGGAAAAGGTATACTGGAAAAGCTATACTAAAGGAAGTAGATAAGTTTTATTTATGTACCATGCAGACTCTTTTTTTCATTGTATGATACAGTGGATAGAGATCAGATCACTGAAAGCATTTTTCATTTGCTGTTGTTGTAAGTTGTGGAAAAGAGTAGGATAGCGAGAAATAAACCAAAACGAAACCCACCTTACCCTTACCTCCCTTCTTCCCAGGCTCAAATTCACTCCTTTGCTCCTGTTTTTCTGCCTGCTCCTTCACCCAGCAGTGCAGAGGATGGGGAATGGGAGTTGCAGCCCAGTCCTCATCCCCCTCCTTCTTCCCTGACCTTGGTGTCTGCAGGGATGTTTCTTTCACAGTTTTTTTTCTCCCTGTTTTCTCTCACAGCTGCTGCACAGCTGTTTTACCCTTTCTTAAATATGTTAGCAGAGAGGCACCGTGGCCGAGGAGCCCCTGGGACGGGCTGTGCCCAGCGCAGGGGCACCGGCACCCGGGGCGACCTGGAATAAACCAAAACACACTACCTGCTTTTAAATATTGTTACTGCTGAAGCTCTTCATCTTGCTTGGTTTTGCTCAAGAAATTATTTATTAATCATATTGATGGTTTTTATTAGCATACAGTAACATTTGCCCCTCAGAGGAAGAATATGTTCCTTGGCAGGGTGTGGGTGTGGTTGGGTGCTCATTCATTGCCACCAAATGCTTTAAAATTACATGGCTGTGCACAATTTTATACAGGTGTTGCGACATGTCCTGTACATGCAAGTAAGCAATTCTGCCAAATGAACTTGTACATTTTATTTAGAAATGGAAAAAGTAAGATTGCTCAAATTTGGGGTTCAAGGACAGTAAAGAAGGTACTGGGAAAGCCACTATTAGCAGCTGAGTATATTTGAGTGAGGGTCAGTATTTTTCATTAATGTCATCATAAGATTTACTACTCACAGTTTTAGTCTATCATTAACTCTGAAATTGTTCTTTCATTTACTGAGTTATTTTGTTTGTGACTGTGCAGCCTCTCTCCTGTGTTCATCAAACCAGTTGTTCTGTAGAATTTAATTTGACACTGAAATTATTTATACTGGGATAAGAGATAAATTGTCCCAATGGCTGAAGACAGCCAGCAGATCATATACCTTTCCTGAGGCGTTCCGTGTTGGATTGAGAAGTTTGAATTTGAATATTGAAATTTGAATGTGCTTGTTAGATAAAGGATCAGCCTGTCTTAATTTTCCTGATTTCAGGGACATTCCCAGAATACCTGACAGCACACATGCACAGCTGGAGTCCAGTAAGTTTCAATTGTGGGGTAGGAAAATCTTCTCTCTCTTTTATGTAAGCACAAATAGATCGAAAAATGTCATCTGCAGTCAGTATAGCTCTTGTCTCTTTGTCTGTATTTGTCTCAATATATCATCTTACTGTATTATCTATCTCTCTTTGCTTAATAATAAGCTATCAAAAGTCAGGATATTTTGATTTAGGTTTGACAATTGGTTATAAGTTTAGAGTGGCTTTGACTGAAAAGAAAAGCATAATTCTAAGTAATATATAAGAATATTAATAGCAATTTTTAATTTCGTGTTATGCTGTTTTGCATTTCAAATGAATCTTATAAACTAAAAGTGGGAAAGAAGTATTTCATGTAGGGAAAAATAACTTGTTCTTTGGCTTAAATCTGGTAAGATGGATTTCAGCCTGAAGTTATTTTTTATTATTGGTTTAGAACTCTATTATAATAAAAACTGTGAATAAATGAAGTGGCATAATCTTGATTATAATAATATGAAAAACTCATCCAATGACTTTTTACTCATCAGCCAACTCTTAAAATTCGTTTTATGTTTTGTGAGATGTGGATTGTCTTTTGTATTTATAGAAATAATTTACTTCTGCTCTATGTTTTATATGTCAAAACTTGTCCTCTGACCCTTTGCAGATCTTGTAGATTTGAAGCAAAATGGACATGAAACATTACATACATCTTAATATTTTTGTAAAAATCTGATTCAAAATTAGTCTGATTATATAAGATAATAAGTCAGAAGACTGACTTCCTTTGACCACAGTAAAGTGTTTATTATTTAGGAATTTGGGACCTTCAACTTACTGACATAATTACAGTCAGAAATAACTATTTTCCATTCTACAAATAAAAGCTTTTGATTGCATTTGAGCACTGAAAGACTATCATTATTTGGTAATTTTAAATAGATTTTAGAAAAGTGATATTTATTGCAACTTTGTTGCATGTTTGGTTATATTTCTAAAGTTTTTATGTAAAGAATTTTGTGAAAAATGCATAATCGCTACTATTTATAAAATATTTTTGTTTATAATTACAGGTTCAAGTTCATTCGAATCTCAAAAAATGGACCGACCTTCTATTTCAGTGACTTCTCCCATGAGTCCTGGCATGTTAAGGGATGTTCCACAGTTCTTGTCTGGACAACTTTCAGTATGTAAACATTTAATTGATATTAATGTGCTTTTGCAGCATATACAACTCTATCTGTAGTGCAAACTACATCTAACAGAAATTTTTTGTTAAACTGCCTAAATTTTTGTTTAATGCTATATGTGTCAGTGTAGGTAGGACCATACTGTCATAAGTGTATTCCATTTTATTAGCTTTTGGAAATTTTATATAAATTGAATTGGGTTTATACATGTATAATTTTCTGGTAAGCTAGACTGGTAGAATCAAATTTTCAGACAGGTTTAATTTTGGCCCCCAGTTATATTTGTACTGTTGAGTGTAAACATTTTTTCAACTATCATACTTACACGTAGACTCAGTAGATTTTATTACCTGTGTGCTTGAACATTATTATTGGTCTTTTCTTATGCACTAACTTTTATATATATCTTCCCCAAGTATCCCTTTGATATTTTACTAATACTATATTCTTTGTACAAGTGTTATTCACTTTTGTTCCACACTCTCATTGACAACAAAGTTCATTACATGAATGTTTCCTTTTAAAGGGTAATTTTTTGTTCCAAACTGAAGAAGTTGGGTTTTGTGCACCTTTCCCTGTTATTTACAATTCCAAAGTGTGATTTTTCAAAAGTGCTCAGTTGTGGCGTGGCTTACATTGAAAAGAAAAGACAAATGGAATGGAAACAGTGCAAAACTGGTGTTAAACAAGTTTGGAAATGCCACATTCATTTTAATTCCAAGTCGTATATGTTGAGTGTGCCATAAAAATATGCATAAAATCTAAGCAGACTGTTTATAGCCCTCACAGAAATGTTTTTCTGTCTCTTCAGTGACCTGTGTTGGCTCCATTTTCCAGTGCATGAGACATTATTTGTTTGCCCATCAGAAAAACCATTTACAATACATAATTTTTAATTTTCTGTAACTGTACTTGACTACTTTGAAAGACTTGATCCTTTGGATAAATGGAAAACTAGAAATCTTGACTGTCAAGTGCAGAATGCACAAAATACAATGACAAGGGAACACAAACATGAACAGTGAAAATAAACAGACCAAGGTTTCTAAAAATCCTTTTAGCTTTAGAAGACAGCAAAAATTGTTTCTAGTGGAGACAGGGAGGAAAGAAATTTCTTTTGTTTAAGCTTTGTAAAAGATTATGCTGTCAAAAAGCTTTGATGCCCGGTTCCCACCAAGAAATTCAAGATCCATAGTTAGCTGCTCAGATGACCAATGCACAGACACTGTGGAATGGTCCAAAAAAGAACCACACAGAACTGACTTTCTCACTTTCTCAGTTTCAGACAAAAATATTCATGAGTTTAAGATTAGGATTTACTAGTAAAATCAGTAAGTCTGTTGATTTAGTGGTTTGATAGGATACTGCAGTATTGGGAAATTTGGAGGTATGTTCTAGTTTACTGAGAATAATAGAAATCCCAAGGTTTTATTTCTCAGAATGGCATATAAATTTGGTGTTTAACTCAAGAAGTCACAATTCCTACTTTTATTTATTTTTGTTTGTTTCAATATAAAAATGTCTTTACTCATAAGTTTAATTTCATCTAAGGAAACCAAATAATGTTAAGAGACATTCAAAGATCTTTCCTACATTTGTCCTCTTTGATACTTCCTTATGAACTGTTTGCCATTACATACAATACTCCCTACTACATGTTATCTGTGTTTCCCTCAGAGAGCAGCTTATCTCTGAGAACCCACAGATCCAGCTGACACTGAAGTTAGAAATGCTTTGTAACTCTAAAGAGTTAATTTAGACATCTAAGATTAGTAGACAGCTACAAAATAGATGTGCTTCAGTATTTTGGTTTTCTCAGTGTTAATCAGTTGTTTTCTAACAGAACAATTGACAAATCACATATTTATTCCAAATAGCTGATTAAGATAGAAATGAAAGGAAATACTATTCCAAATGTAATGATGAATGTGCTCTTTAAGGTGAGTGCCTAGGCAGGAGAATAACTACAGAACCCTGGCAGTAAATGGGGACAGGATAGTGTTGTTTGTGGAAGAGGCTGGTCAGTGACATTCCGGGTGATGGTGACTGAATTCAGACAGGTGTAATGAACCTCAGGGAACAGATGATAAGCAAGGCTTTGGAAGTGTTTTCTGTAATTTCTGTTCCTTTGGACAATAGCATGTAGTCCTGACGGGCTCTTGTTAGGGCAGCTGTGGTTAATAGGTTGCAAAATACAAGCGTTGTGGGCAGAAGTGGAGATCCTACAGTTCAGACGGAGGTCTGAAGTATTTGAATACTTGGATATATGATTTCTTTTTCAGACAGTGCTATAGATACTTAAGAGATTTTTATATATTAATGGTATTTTGGAGTGTGTTTCTTTATGTTCAGGATGGTTTTAGTGAGTTTAGCTGCAGTGATGCCTCTAGTATTCAAGGCTGTCTTTGTTGGTTCAGTCTTCCATATTTTCCTCTATACTGGCATTGGTCTGTGTACCTGTTTTCTTCTGTTGAGGTTACAGTGATGCTGACTAATAGGATTGTCGATGAAGTAAACCATCTCACATAGATAGGAAATTTTTTTTATGATTATTCTGCTCAAATACATATTTAATTGAACAAATGTTGTGCAACTTCAGTAAACTATTGTGTGTTATAACTTACGAAGCTAAATAATAATTTATCCATATTCTCTTAATTTTATTTTATGGCACTTTTTATCCACATTGTTCTTTCAGGGGAGAATCTGACTGTTATTGCAATTATAGTTTTATTATTATTTGCTTTGTCTGGTTCCTGTTTCTGTGTTTTTTCACTGATTTGTTTTTCCTTTCATACCATTTCGAAAAAGTCAAAAGTATTGTGTGTTGATGCTCTTAGCTTCATTACTGCATTTTGGCTAATTTTCATTATTGCATGAAAAGTATAACTTGGAATGCTTTTGCAATAATTAGGTTTAAGGAATAATAACATAACTAGAAGACCATGTAAATGTAACAAAGTATAAAATCACAATAATTTTTATGCTGGTGCAGATTCTAACAGAAAAAGGATATTATTTATGATATTAATCAATTTTCTTGTACACCTGAACTGTAGAACCACTTCAGTAGATTTTCCATAGATATTCAGTTTATAAAGGAATAAAAATAGAGTTATATTAATTGTAGTTATAATATCTGTAGCATATTGGGAAGTGTTTATTGTACATTGTGAAGGACATATATGTCAGCACATTGAGGGGATGAAATATAGTATGAGACAGGCTTCCCTTACCCCTTTCAACTTTTCCCTTTTCCCCTTTTTTCCCCCCTCCCCTTTCTACCTCTATACAATTAAATTGCTCTTGCTCTAACATCAAAATATGGAAAGTTCTAGGTAGTGCACACAAGATGCTTATTGCTTTCCATTTCCAAGGCAGAACATGACAGCTGAGGACCCTTGGTATGTGGTGGGAGATATGTCCTAAGAGATGTCCCTCTCAGAATTGCATAATTCTGGAATATCTGTTTTTCCCTTGTAAAATGGACCAGAAGCAAACTGAAGATCTACTTTTATTTTATGTGAGTAGGTCACATCCTGGCCCCCATACACCGGGCTCTGCAGCCCTGCCCATGCATCGTGGGGGGCAGGGTGCAGCTGCTGCACCTCACAGAGCACAGTGAGCACATCAAACAAAACCTGTGATCCAGACTGTCAAATTTTCTTATATATCCTTTTGCTTTGGTGTAAGAACAGATTACTTCACACATTTTATGGAACAGATTTCTCCAGCATCTGTGCATGCCAAATAAGCAAGGAGGGTGGCAGAAGCATCATCACGCTGCCTATCTCCATGCTTTGGGTACACTTCTTATGGAAGTGAATATTGAATAGGAGCTTCTTTCTGTCATTTTGAGTTAGATAATCTCAGGAAAACTGAGCAGGGAGATGAAGGAGATCCAATCTGTCAGATGCCTGTCCATGCTCCTGGTCTCCCACTCACTGACCCTCTGAGGTATCAATGTGTGCTCTGGTTCCTGTTTACACCTCATGCTCTGTACCAACTTGGTGCTACTCCATTATCTGTTGCCCTAAACTAAGGATAGAGAGCAGTTGCTTGGAATTAGTATTTTGGAGTGTTTCATGTACTGATGTAGTCTTAAGGTAGCCACCAGAAGCCACAAGGTCATATGTGGTCTGAATAGTTGCATCACAAAAATAAGAGTTATAAATGTGTCTATGCAGTTTGCTAAATGCTCTAGATGCCATTTCATGCAAGGGTTTTCTGTGTATACCGTATGTCATTTCTGTCAGGATTGCTAGAGAATTGAAATACATAGATTGTACCTTCCCCCATGTAATAATAATAACAGAGAGCACTAACTTTCTTTTAATAGTTCTAAAATTATTTAGGAGGGTTTTTATAAAGATGCCTTTTAAAATTGCAGAGAAGACATAACTTTTTACTTTACTTGCTTTACTTTACAAAGCAACCAAAGCTGTCAATGCATGTACTGTGCTTGTTTCTCTCTGAATATGCATCTACAGTGTTCCTGAAAGATGGGATTAAGCTTAAATTATGTTTCCAACCCCACTTTTAAATCACACTTTGCTGACCTGTTCTTTTTGTTACATGTTATTTCTAAATCTATTGTAAATGTGAGGAGAAATCCTTGCTCCTGGGGAATCAGTGGTAAAATTCCTGCTGACTTCCCTAAGGCAAGAATTTCCAGTACAGGGTTTTGATATGATTTGGTAACAGATTTGCAGATTTAATTTATGCATTGCATTAAAATACTTTGTGTTAGATAAATATGTTGTTGGTGTAAAGCTGTGTTTAAAGTAATAGTTGTGTGTCTTTGTTTTTACTTTTGGTCTTTTAGTTTCCAGCGTGTTGTCCTTTTTGGTTTTGTTTTATTGCTTTTTCTTTAATTTTGCTTACCAGAGCCAAAGCCTTAGTAGAAGAACAACGCCTTTTGTTCCTAGGGTTCAGGTAAAGACTTCGTCTGCCTGACAGAGACTAAAGTTGTGGGGTTTTCTTTTGTTTGTTATGGAAAATGCATAGTAGGAAAACGTTACATTATAGTCCGTTTTCCCATATTTTGAGTGTGTTTCTTTAAATCATATTAACAACTTTCATATCATCTTGTGAGCAGCTTGTAAAATTCTGCATGGGGGTGAAAATATTAAATTAAAATTTAAAGAGACAACTAGTTTTTGTTTGCTTTCTGCCCAACATTAAACTCATACAGGTTTCAATAGTGATGGTGGCTATGCATCCCACATATACAATCTGTGTGCTGTTTAAGCAATAAATACTTTTGTGCTTGAGGTCATTATATAAAGATGAATGTCTCTTTAAATCATTCATTACTTAACACATACATTTTGCATTTTCCACATAATAGTAGCGCCTTGAGTAGAAGATGGGCAAAAAATTTGTACCTTGTTTAAAGAAACAAATTTCTTGTATATGAAACTTTGTTTTTGCATTTTAAAGTACATCAAAATATCCAAAACCTTACTTGAATAAAAAATTAATTCTCCCATTGTGCTACTGAATTTATTTAGGTTCGATATTCTGTTTGGGTACAAGTTGTTTGCCTTTTTTCATTAGGAAGCTCCTAAGGTACTATAGATTAATGCAAAAGTAGGTTTTACTAATATGTTACAATGCTTATCTTGCTTTGCTGCATGTTTTTTTGTAAATAGAATACTATTTGCTTTTCTTACAAAATATCTTTATGGAGATGTTAATCTTTTGTGTGGGAGATGTATAAATGTTCCTCTGGTTTGATCAATTGCTCAGGGAAAGATGTAAAGAATGATATAAATGATCAGAATGAGATGACCAAATTTCATATTGAAATGGAAAAGAGATCATACATATATATATCTATAGAGGGATTGTAAATAAGAATCTAAATAAGATATCAAATATGAATCATATTTGGTAAAGTCTGTGTTTTTTCACAAAAGTAATCCTCACAACTGCTTAAATATAAATTCAAAATAAAAAAATCTAAGGGGAAAAAAAGAGATTAAAAAAGTAATGTATTGATAGTATTATTTAAGGTTAATATATTATTATATGCTATTGCCATAAATTCACTTTGTATAAAAATTAAAAATATCCTCTAGCATGATTAAGAAAGATTCTGCTCATGATAGTGAAATCAGAGGGGTGCAATCATAAGTTGTTAAGTAGTTCATAGAGGTAAATGACATAAGTAGTCTTTTAATATTTATTTTCTTTTTAGATATGTGCTAAATAAATTAAGAAATTATATGACAGTTGGTTGTTCAATTTAAAAAGGAAACACCTGCCTGAAACCTGCATGTTCATGAAATACTGTAATGTAGAAATAACATGTAGTGGTTCCTTATTTTAATCATATTATATAAAATAAATACACATAAAAATTGTCTAATATAAAAATGACCTTGTTCAAGTGATTATGGTAGTCATTTGAGAAAATAGAAGAAATGTTATTTTGATATTGTAGATAAGAATTGTCTTTAGCCCCAATTTTTCTTCTACACAATGCCCATGGAGTCCTTGTGGACTTCTCTGATAGTTTTTTTTTTCAGAGCTCAGTAACAGTCAAAGCTAAACATAAGGTTTGTGACAAGAGTTCCTGAAAAACTCAAACTTATGACCTTGGCAGTATCTTTACAACCAGACTGAAACAAAAAGTCATCCCTTTGCTCACTTTTAGTAGGGATGGTAGATAGTCTAAAAAGGATTAATGTAAGATATATTTATCGTGCAGACTGCAAAGAAGAACAGGAATTCTCCAGTGGTCTTTAAACAAGCAGTCCAGCAGCAGTGCAGAATTCTGGTTACTTTTCTTTTTGGCATGACAAATTCACTTACTTGGAGCTCTGAGCTGCTGTTTACAGTTGTCAGGAAGTATACATTTCATTGTGGTCTGTAGTATAGCTGTGTCTGTAGAATTGCTTACAAGAATGAGGATCTCCAAACATTCTGTTTATACCTATTTGTTTCATCGCTCTGAACAGGAGATGCACATCTTTATTCTTGCTTGCATCTTCTTTACTTGATATTCTGAAACTGATCCTTTCTGGCAAAAGTTCCTCTTTCACGCTTCTCTCTGTGTCATTCCATTAGTTTTCTAGCTCTTGTATCACTGGATGATTTCATAGAATCATTATTTTTTTATTGGGAAGAAAAACACTCAAATCCTTTTTTTCCCCTCTCATAAACCCTTCTCATCTTTTACTAATTTCACAGTACTTGGAAAAGTGCGTATTTATTTCCTGAACTTTTAGATTCAGTTTAGCATACCAGCAATTTTCTAACTCGTAAAGTGATGCTTTGTGACATCTTTGCAGGGAACAATCTGTTCTTACATTTGTGTTGTCTATGCAGTATCTCTTGTTTACTTGGTGGAGCCTCTTTTCGAGCCAGAGTTGCCATGAGACCACTGGTTTTTTAATAACTTCAAAAATTTCAGACATTCTTTTTGCTTTAATACAGAACATCATACAAGTTTTTTCCATTTGACAGCATTTTCTTGTACTTTTTTCATCATATCAGATGGCAGCTAAAGCAGATAGCAATAACAGTTTGATTTAGCAACCCTCAGTAGTCAGAATTTGTTAGAGGTATGCTTAACAACATCCAGTGCCTATCTCAGCTATGCTGAAGGCTTTACCACCTGCTGTTTCCACATCTACATAAGCTTAAGTCCAAGAAAATGATTACTACAAGCATTTTAAAAAATAAACTGAGATTTCTTTTTTTTTTTTTTCAACATGTCCTGCTGGTATATCTCATTTCAGAATACTGTGAGAAAGAAATGTAGTATCTCAGTTTCAAAATATTATACTAATAAACCACTATGTAGCTTACATGTAAAATTATAATGAGCAACACAACAAAAATATCTGGCCAGATATCTCAAATTCAGTGATGTTTGAGTAGGCTGTGGTGGTAAAAATCAAGCTGCAGGGCAGACTGTCTAATAAACTGAATTTATGTCCTTAATTTATGTAGCTTATACTAGCTTCAAATAAGTCTGAGGTGCCTTAAGGAGGAGCTTTGACTCATACAGTTAAAGAGAGGAACAAAGTTACCTCAATGCCTGCGTGAGTGATCAACTCAAATAAAAGGCAACTAACCCCATTAATGCTATTTGAAACTTAGGCTACTCCAGAGGGTGAGTTGATTCCCCAGAGGGAGGCATTTTCCAAGGCTACAGAGAACCAACTTTTCCTACTCTGTGATTCTGTGAAAAAGGAATACTATATATACTAGATAACTGCATCCTCACTTCTCAGAATGCAATGCCAGCAGTCAGCTTTTGTGTACTGTTGTGTGTGTAAGAAGCTCATTCCAGAGACACGACATCTGCTGTTTAAATACTGTTTAGACTGAAGAGATTGAACCTGTCTCTCAGAAAAGTGCCTTTATCATCAAGCTATTCCACATCCCTTTCTTCTCTGGAGTGTGAAGTCTCATCTGAAGCTGAGATACTGTTTGGCTGGGAGTATAAGCGTGTGGTGTTATCAAAGCAAGCTTAATTTTAGCATAGCGGGTTCCAGATCTGCTACCCATAATGAGTATTGCTCTTGTATTAGACCACTTTGGGTTAAGAAATAGAAAGTATCATATGAAGCTGGGACCAGACCCTCATCTCAGTTCCCCTAATCATCTGACTGCAGAAGAGGTCTTATTTCCTGCCTTCTATGTGGCAGTTACTACCTGGAAGCCTGTCTCAAGGAGTGCAGCGGGTGCGCTGCTCTGTGAATAACAGACCATCTCACAATTTCAGCATGCATTGAATTTAGATGCCTCTTTGCCTGAATGTAGGTTACAGCAGAAGCTTAGTGAAGCATTAGCTGCATGTCTGGCTAGCAAAGGAGCCTAAGGGAGGAAAGTATATGAGCATGTGCATGACAAATAAGTTTCCAGGATCTCATTGCTAAGTGGGAAGATCTTCAGAAAGCATTCAGGTTGAATCACTTTCTAAGTGAATTTTAGGTACCTATATCCTCAATAATCTAGATAGACAAAGTCCTGTTCAAGAAGTATTTTGACACGTTAGCCTCCAGATTAGCATCAGCTAGCATAATTTTTTCTGTGGTGCATTTTCTGTGTTGTAAGTTTAGCTTTCTCTTTCCTTCATTTAGATCAGGATCACTTTGCTTCAGTTTCTTAGATGTTCTAAGCCTTTAAAAGTCATCATCGTGGCTAGGCTTCGCGAACGAAGATTTGAGAAGGGCTCTACCCATGCTTGCTACAAGCATGATAAGCTTTTAAAAGTATATATGTAAAAAAACTGCTGAATTGAGATTATGTAGATTCTGTGCTGTTGGTCAGCTACTTAAGTCTTTCACTGCTGACCATCACACCTGTACATTCTTGTGGGACTTTCACTCTATGGATTGAATAATTCAATGTTCTTTATTTTTTGGTGTCAGGAATCTTTTCTACAACTCAACAAAGCTATAAACCAACCAAACAAAAAAATCCTTATCAGTTTTTCTGTTATACATGTGTTATCGTGTGTTTATTTCACAACATGAAGCATTTATAGTGTGCTGTCAGATGTGTTAGGATTGTCCTGTATTTATAGATTAGGAATTGAGAAACTATGATCAGAGTCTGAGACAACGAGGTTCTGTCCAAACGTAAGAAACACCTCAAACTCCAATTCCAGTGCTTGGCTTAGCACACAAATCAGGGTCCAGGATTTCATACCAGCCTTCCAGACACCAAAGAACGTGCAATTGTAAATGCCTTTCAAAGTATTTTAAGGGATGCACACTTTGATACACAAGTGCTCTGGGAAAGTGGAAGGGATGGAATTCAGTCCTCTTGGAGTGCACATGGCTGTCATAAATGGCTGTCTTTGTGAATAGAAAGAAGAAGTTCTTCTAGGATAATACCATACCATCCAAATATTGTTATAATGTTTATGCACAGGAGAGTCAGAATTAGATCAGTCATATTCTTAAACTCATCTATCATGTCCAGTATGCTAATCTAACTCCTTGCTTCTCATTTTCCTTTCCAATATCCTGACTTGACTTCCTCTCTGATTTTCCTTCATCCTGGTCTCTCAACATATTTTGTGCCAGTTACAGCATGGCTGGTTCTTTTGTCACCTCATGCCATTTCTCTCTTTCAGTCTATTTTTGCTCCTCTGTCCTTCTCTGATCCCTGACATTAGTGTCTCCATTCTTCCTGTGTCTCACCAAGAAGTATTTTGTGCATTTTAGTTTCTCAGTAATTATTAAGCAGTTTTTGATTTGTCCCTTCTTCCTTCTTCTAACCCTGTGAAAATTCAATCCCGTCCTCCCCCCATGGGGTTCTTTGACCATTCTCTTGCAGTTTCTTCCTTTCTTCTCCTTGCATCCTAGTCAAATGATTGATTGGTTACAAGTGCCTGTAATGTGTATTGGAGTGCAGGAAGTGTGAACAGAGGAGAGAAGAGAGCCTTCTGGTCCTAATTCTGCCTCCTGACCTTTCCTGTAGAAAGCCAAATTAAAGGGAAATTCAGGGAAAATATATCCATTATGTACAAGTTTTTCCATTTTTTTTCTTCAGAACATCAAGAGAAAAGTAGAAGGTATAAGTCAATGTAAATTTTGAGCTCTTGTTCCAAAAAACAGTTTTGAGAACATCTCAAAGAAATGGTGTGAGATGATTTCAGTTTCTGCTTAGTGTAATTCTCTAAATATTTTGACTGAAGTTTTCATGCAAAAATTCAGTCAGAAACAAATATAGTTAAGAAATATTTAGCTTGAATATGAAGACATAATTCTGGTTGTATTTTTGGAACCCACGTCTAGATTATTTCACATCCTTCAGTCACAGTTTGTGATAGTGTCTATATCACAAATATATTGCATTCTACTTAAGCAAGCATAATTTTTCCCAGAAAAGCAAATGAAGATTATCTTTACTGCTATTCCCCTTGGGATGTGGGACTAGCCAAGCCTGTCTTTTGCCTGAGGACTCCCAAGAAAGCCTGCGGGTGGATACTTTTAGTGTCAGAGAACATTTAAGTTGACTTGCACTTCAGAGGTCATTAAAGCTTTGCTTTGGATTTATACTGTTGGTACAAAGCTTTCTGCTTTTGATCTGTAGCTGAGTGGAGTTACCTAGACGTCCAGATAATTCACAGTTTAGAAAAAATGCTGTCAAAGCCCCTTGCTTTTCAGGAATGTAGGAACAGCATCTAAAACTCTCTTAAATCTGACATGTTAAGGATAATTTCTCATACAGGTTTTTGCTCTAGTAGCCACAGAGCCCTTTAACTGTTGGTACCAGAAACCTATAAAGTCTGTAGTAGGGCCAATGACATGATAATAGATGACAGATGTGTGTGTGTGCCCCCCACTTTTTAATATCCATTCAAGCACTTTTGGTTGATGACTACAGGAATTGTAAGATCTGAAGGAGTGGGGATGGAAGAAGTACACTGCTACCAATGATTGAGTTGCATGTCTTACTGTAATCTTACTTAGTGAAGTATTAGGAATGGCAGAAAGCTAAATCACCTTCTTTGTGGGTTAGAAGTCTTGAGAATTACATCAAGACCTTTCTTTAAGTGACTGAAATGCTGAAGATGAGGAGCTATGACGGCAGATGGAAATCCTGTCTCTGAAATTATGTGAGATGGTTTCCACAGCAAGTGCACCTTCCCCTGGTTATGTCTACCTTAGCTATTCTTTCCCTGAAGGTGTATTGCTTGGTTAGATGTGCAGTTGGGCATTATCTTTTTTGATTCCCTGAAGTTCAGGCAGGGTCAGTGCTTTCTTTAAACGTCCTAGTTTGTCCCCTCTCTCAGGCAAAGTCCTCATAAAGAGAGCCCCCTCTGTAAGGTGTATTTAATGACACTGCAGTGCTACCACCATGCAGTGGCTTCCTGGCTATTTGGAAGGCTTTGTTTTGTTCTAACTGCACCATTTCCCCCTTCTTCAGTGACTGCTCTAAAGTACGTATATCCTTTCCTTGACAGATTTATTTGCAGCCATAGAATTCAAACTAAAATAGCTAAATAGCAGCTTCTAATGACTGTAGGGAAAAAGAATAGTAGATCAAGCCTAAGACTGCTTAATAATAATTTCTACAGATGAGATTTTACCATGTTGCTTAGTTGGACTATTAAGAGGGTTGACCTCCCTCTCTTACAATTTCTCTAGGGCTTATATGATGTCAGCATAAATCTATACATCTTGAAAAGCATTTTGTGATATGAAATATTTATGGTGTTATCCCATAGTCTTTTTAGCACAACAGGATGTGAAAAATTAATTCATTCTTTGTGCATACACTCCTCAGAAATATATATGTATATGAATATCATACATTAGTAATGCAAGTAATACAATAGAAGAGAGAATAATCCTAACCAGAGCACCATGTTAAAAAACAGGTAGTGTGAAATAATGCACTTATTGTACAGGGTTTTAAAAAAAGAGTGACTCCAGGTACACACTGAAGCTATTACACTATTAGCTTATTTTTATTCTTTGTTATGAATGCTAAGTAGAACATATTTTCTGTTAAAGTAACCAATATAAATAGATGCTTATGATCAAATTTATTTATGAGGACTAATATACTCCTTCACTGCAGAAATGAATTCACTAATTAATATTTTCTCCTTACAGATAAAACTGTGGTATGACAAGGTTGGTCATCAGTTAATAGTGACAATACTGGGAGCAAAGGATCTTCCTTCCAGGGAAGATGGGAGGCCAAGGAATCCTTATGTTAAAATTTACTTTCTTCCAGACAGAAGGTAGGGTGAATGCAAAGACAAGGAACATTTGAATAAGAGTTAATCTGATGCTGACATGGGATGCACAGCTGAGTTTATTTGCCATACTTACATGGAAAAAACGTGCAATTTGGAGTTCCTGTATTCAACACGCTTTGTAATGGCAAGATGTCTTTGAACACTATCCACAAACTTGCTTTCCCTGGCTATATTGTAAAATACTGAATAGAAAAGGAAAGGTAAATGTATGCCTTTGAATGAGGATCTGTTATTTGCAGAGAATGTTTTTAGTATTTTATAATGCCCTTATTTCCTATGACTGCTATTCCTGTTTAGTGCAAAGAAAATGCAAAGTTCACAGATTTCTGGACTGATGGGTCCAGCAGTTTGGTTTGTCCCACCTTTATACAACAAAGCAGAAACAGATTTGGCATCTGAAACCCACAGGTTTCTTATCACAGTATAAGTGAAAAGTGATAGGGATGAAGGGGACTCAGTTGAGATTGCCCATACATATCTTAAAAACTTCTCCTAAAGCAAAGGTAAGCAAATATTTAGTATAATATAAATGATTTTATTAATTTTTAACAATGTGTATAAAAATATTATTTCTCAGTATTTTGATCCAGCTTCTAAGTAACAGTTCAAAATTATAATAACTGTATTACAGTTGCAAGTATTAAAAAACAGACTGTGTCTGCATTGCTTATTAAAAAATCCTCATAAATTAGTATGGCAGCTGCATTATACAGCAATCAGCAGGTTTAAAGTTAGGCATTGTTATGATAACTTTTGTCAGTATTCTCAGGAGAAGGAGTGTGGGTGTTTTCCAGCGAAATTTGTTTCCATCAGAAAATATTAATTATTTCAAGTAGAAATATTCTGCAAAACACTGCTTTCAACAACACCCTGGAGCCAGAGCCAGGACTGCCATAGTAGGGTAGCCCTGCATGGAGACCTCACCTTGTGGTGGAGATCCACCTTCAGCGTGGGTGGTTCCTTGCAGTGACCAAAGGACTTTGGGAACTGTTGTGCGAACACTATTCCTTCCAGCATTGCTGTAAAAGAACATGTAACTTGTTTTCAGAGCTTCTGGTTTCCCAGCTGTGGAACTGGAGTCTTGAGTCAGGAAACCCTGCCGAGAAGGCCACGCAGTGCCACAAACTCCCTGACCGTTCCTTCGTGTAGGGCAGCTGCTCCTTCCTGTTCTGCAATGGGAGTCAGCTGCTGCAGGACTGGAAGCTTGAGAGAACCAGCTGGCTCATTTCTCTGAAATGCAGTTTTGCTGTGCCTAATGTTGTCAGCATACGTGTCCTACTGTCAGACTGTGCCTTGTGGAAATCCCATTTACAGAAGTACATTTTGCTTTATAGAATGCTGTTTTTTTTAAAAAAAACAACACCAAAACCCAACAAACATATTAAAACATTTCTGGTTTTCAGGGAAATTCTTAAAATTGGAATTGGCACATGAACTCAAAATCACCTAATCTTAGTTTTTAATATGAAATTATGAATTATCCTCAATATATGTACTGAACTTTACAATAAAGGAAAATTCCTGATGTAGATTATAGTACCCATGATCCTACACACTGAAATGCTGATTTAAGATTTCCTATTTTCCATTATACAATTATTGCAATATAATGGTATTTTGAACATATTTAATATTTAACTGGTTTTTTTCAGTGATAAAAATAAAAGAAGAACAAAAACAGTGAAGAAAACACTGGAACCTAAGTGGAATCAGACATTTATTTATTCTCCAGTTCATCGGAGAGAGTTTAGAGAACGAATGTTAGAAATCACTCTTTGGGACCAAGCACGAGTTCGAGAGGAAGAAAGTGAATTTTTAGGAGAGGTATATAAGTATTGGTATTTACTATAGAAATACAGTTGCTCACATACTCATGTATATATGCAGTATTTTTGAAAATGTTACTGACTATGCAAAGCAAAACTGGTTTTATTTCTCTTCTTTCACTTAGTAGTAAACAAATAGTGATCTTGCGCTTATCACAGTACTGATATGAGATTCTTTTTGTGTTTGTTCTATTTTAGTAATAGCATGAACGTGGTTTCTCAATTTCTAGTTGTTCATTAAAATTCATATTAGCCATAGTTGTATTTTATAATTGTGGTATGTTGCTCACCAACTTGATACAAGATACCTGAACGCTGTAAAGGCTGTCATAAGGTAACAAAGGTTTTGTAAAAGATTTTTCTTGCATTTGATGTTGTAAAAGGCACAGGAACTTCTTTCATATTAAATGCAAGATTTTTATATAGCTTCAAAGTCCTTAACAATAAGAGAATAATAGAATAACATTTATGAATACACCGACTTTAAAATATTCTGTCATGTAATGCTTTCCTACTTTTAACCATTCTTTCTTTTTTAGATTCTAATTGAGTTAGAAACAGCATTACTAGATGATGAACCTCACTGGTACAAACTTCAAACGCATGATGTCTCTTCATTGCCACTTCCCCACCCCTCACCATATTTGCCACGCAGACAACTCCACGGCGAGAGCCCCACACGCAGGTTACAAAGTAGGTTGTTGGTTTTACATTGTGTATAGTTAATTTGAATTCATGTGTGAGGAAGTATAATAAATTCTTTCAGATGGAGAACTAACAGAATTTTTATGTTAATTTGTAACTATTATGAATTAGGTGATATGTGATTACTAATGAGAGTGTGACATGCTACAAATGGTAATACTGACCACTGTGCAATACACCAGTTTTTTCTTATGAGACAACTCAGTTCAGATCCTCAGCTTGAGTAAATTATCTTGGTCTTTTGCAATGTGCTCTTTCTATCATGAAGTCCCATCTTCTATACTGTGTTCATTTCATTGTTTAACCTAACGTGAATTTTCAGGACCTCTTTCTTTACCTCATACTTCTTAAAGTAACCTGTATATAACATGATTTGTAGCTAAATTAATATCATGCATTGCTTTGAAGCTATTTTACATTCACAAATGGAATTTCTTTTAAAATTCTATTTTGTAGATTTTGTTATACTCGATCCACAGTACTTTGAAGGTATCAGTAGATATTTTGAAAATAGAGTATATACAACATGCTATTTAAGATAGATATGAAAGAATAAGACAGTTAAGGGTAAAAATCTGTTACTTTAGTATTTCATTGTTACAGTAGTTTGACTGTTCAGTACTGTCAGTGATTTAAAACTGTTCTTCACTGAATTGACTTTATAAAATGCCAGTTGACAGTTATATAAAAAAACCCCAAGAAACCAAATCAACCAACCAACCAAAAAAAGACCCCCAAAACAGCAAACCAGAACAAAAAAACATGGCACCACCATCAAAAAAAAAACCAAACTCAAAATACCAAACACAAAACTCACCCCCCCAAAAGAAAAACCAACCATAGAAGAACCTTAACTAACCAAAACCAGTTCCTAAGAATTATTTGGGATTTCTTTGAGTCATTGTATGTGAGTGTGTGTGAACGTTTCACACAAACTCACAGAAACGTGTGTGTAGTCACTCAAACAAGGTTGGATATTTCATATATTCTATGTGGGGTCTTCATTAAATAATCCATTATATCTAAGCATTTCAAGCAGTTGATCTGTTTTGCTTCTGTGCACTAGATGGTAAGAAGGCTTAAAATGCTCCATATCATAATATTCTGAGATAGACACATTAGCAGAGACTTACACTGCATGGCCTTGAAGTTGTAAGATTATATTTGTCCACAAAAGGAGGAAAGAAGTGATAGTTAAAAGGTAAGGAACTCTCCTGCAATTCAGTTCTCTTCAGTCTTCTTGCACACCATGACTGTATTTTAAGTAAAGTTTTTAAGCCTTTTTACATGGTTTCTGCTATCTTTTAAGTCATTTTAGGAAGTTAAACTTTCCATGTAAAATGATTTTTACAGACCAACTGGACGTTTCTGTTTGTATGTGAAGTTAGTGAAACTCTGTTTTTCAGGAAATATTCAGTCCTGCAAACAAAGGTATGATTTGTCTATCATACTTCCTGTGTGGGCAATAAATAACTACCATCAAGAATGAATAAAACAGTAACTGCTTTATTTTTGAACATATTTTAGTACTTCTTGACTAAAGATCTGTTCAATGATACTGACTCAAAATTGGAAAGTCAGTCAGTTTTTTTTGAAAATGTAATACTGATACATACTAATGCTAATAAATACTAATACTAATAAATACTAATACTAATAATGTGCACAATTGAACAATCTTATATACCTGCCTGGAAATGTAGATGAAAGGAATTAACAAAACTTCTGGTTTGGTGAAACACTTAAGGTTTGGTATAGATGTCCTCCTTTTCAATGAAGATGATTTAGCCTGACTGTTTCGACAGCACTAATTTAACAACCTGGGGTTCTAAAAACTTCAACCAAATAAACAATTTCAGATGTTCACTGTGATTGCTGGGGAATTCTTATACTCCTACACTAAATTATGCTATTCCCATTTGAGACTGAGATGCCATTAAGGATTTTCTCTAGTGGTCTAGGAATACATTCATCTCTTGAATCCTTGTGTGTCATAATTTTCAGTTTAAACAGGTAGTTTTAAATGTACAGAACAAGGTCTTCTAGAATTAAAATCTCTTTTTTTGGGGACTGGAAAGGCACACAATTGGAAACGTAGCATCTGATACTTCTTGGTGTTCAAAGAGATGGTGGAACATCCTACTGGAGAGATCCAGTACTCAATTGGACAAGGTTCTAAGCAATGTAATGTAAGTTAGCCAAGCCTGAACCAGGCATTGCACCAGATGGCCTCCAAAAAGCTCTAAATGTCATCACCAGGGGACTGGTGAAGGGCAGACAGCAGATCTTATTGTTTGCCTTCACCATGTAAAATATTTATACTAGATTAATAACCCATGGAAGTCTGCTTTTTAAATTTTTCTTTGGGGGGGGGGGTTGGTTTTCAAAAGAATGTTAAGTTAAACAATATATTAGTTCCTCATGTCTGTAGATGTTTTTGTAGCTTTAAATAATACTCCTGTATATGATGAAACAGCAAATGTTATCCAGTGGTACATTATGACAATGCGAAAAAAATTTCCAGAATGAAGTCAAGGCTTGTCTAGCAAGTTTGTTTATGTTTTTCAAAGCACATCTTAGAAAACATACTGGGCTGTTAATACAGTAGGCTGATTTCAGTTTCTGGAGCCACAAAATCCGAGCAGTTCAGTCCTCCTATCTTTTGTTAATTCTGTGATGCTTCTATGTGTAGAATTAGTGAGTACAATATGAAGTACTTTTTTGAATGCCCCCCCAAATTGTTAGTGTAAGAAATGATGAGAGAGATTTTGAATTACAAGGTTGTTTGTTGTTTGTATAGATGCACATCTACACATCTAAGCTTTCTTATCTTCATGATTGCCAAGTAGAGATAAACACATATTTGAAGACAATACTTAAATGTTATTCTCTAAAGGTAGTTTAAAAGGACCACCTACACTTACCACTTAGTTCTATTCTCTTTTTAATATCACTGAATTGCAGTGTTTCTGAAGAACAGACTGTCAGCTCTGAAGAGTGAAGTCCTATTTACAGATTACCAGTAGCAAAGTGCAAGCTTCCCACAGAGCCCCATATGCCATTTTTTTAGGAGCCAGCTTCCAGAGACAGTAGCTTAGTTTCTACATATATTTATCTCTCAATATCTTTGAGTGGGCAGTGTGTTGTAGAGACTGATAGTCAGCTGTCCACCTTCTCTTGCTCAGTCCTCTGATCCATACGTTCCATTAACTTCCTGCTGATGAAGGATCATTACCATACTTTTTCCTTTGTGTTTTTTGAGACATCTACTTAGAAACTGGAAACAATATAGAACACAGGGTTGCGGTTTTCCAGGTCTTTCTGCTAATTATATTTCAGATTTTCATAAACTGATGATGTTTATCCAATGAGTATATTTTAAACTTTTTCTTATATGAAATGTGCTGAACTTTTGAACTGAATTTTTAAAATTACTTCATTTTCTCTAACATTTACCGTAAAAGCAGATATACACTAAGAATTCTGGACAACATTAAACAGAATTACTAACAAAGCAAAGTTCTTTTTGTATTGCCTCTGGAAAAAATTTGTAAACAGCAAATCAAAAATAATTTTAAAGAATATTTAGGAATTCCCATTGTTATTGTGTTACTTTTCCATCTTATGTTAGGTAAGAATCTTAGTACAGATTACATGGAAAATTGAATGTGGTTTCAAAGTTGTGTTCATAGTTGTTCGGATCACTGGGATGGAAGTTATTTTTAGTATTTTTAGAATTTCTGTTTCTATATTTCTATAGAACTGATACAGAAATAAAACAGGATTATAACACGGGCTTACAAATCAGAAATTGCTTCCCCTCAAGGTAGCCCAGAATATAAAGATATACATCAAATTGTATCTAAGACATTTTTATTCAGTCTTTTACAACTATGTCCATGTAATGTGAGCATTTTTGCAGTATGAGCTGGTATTGTTGAGTTGATCAAGGGTACAGGTTTATTAACTCTGAATTTTTTTTTGAAGCAGATTTTCTTTTACTCCAGAATTTCTTTAAGAAATTTTCCAATTAGGTTTGAAAGTAACTGCTGCTAGTTTTCTAAGTCAGATTTTGCAGGTTAAAACCCAAGCTGTCTGAATTATTGATCTGCAGACCACAGCAAGTGTGTGTGCAGTGCAGGTAACAGCTAAAAGCACCAAGAGAAGAAATGTGCATCTAGCAGTAAACCCTGACATTTTCAGATCTCTTGTTACAGCATAGGTATGTGTAGCCGTTGAAGGAGAGCTTTTAATTGCCATGAGAAGGCACAATATGGTTTGAAAAAGAAAAGGGAAGTTTTATATTTTGAGCATTCTCAGTAAGGGAAAAGTAATAAAACTATAGGAGATAAACTGCTGCAAACAAGATCTAAGAAATTTTAGAAATGACAGCTTTTGGAAATGAACATATAGAAATCCAAAATGGTGGATCAAATTTCAAGAACTGAACAACAGCAAAATCAATCAGAATTAAAATTATGTAAATAAACAGACTGTGGAGTAACTTTATTTTAAAGAGAATTTGACTTTCATAACTTTTAGAATTAAATTCATCAATGGCTTCATTCTCCGAGTTTCATGATTCTTCAGGCACATAAAAAAATCTAGAGGAAGAGAAATTACAGTACTGAGTATTTAATCTCAGGGGAAAAAAATAATTATATTATGTTCTACAAAAAATATGCATATGGTTTGCAAAAGAACTGTATACAACATTTATTTTCCAAATTTTATTTATTTTTTTCAGATGGGAATAAAAAGAAATCTATGATGCATAACCAAAGTGTTTTAAATCACATGGAAAATTTTGTCATCTTCTTTCAGCTTTGTACATTTTCCCCAGTCAGATTGCAGTTTCTGAGGCAATGCTGAGACTTTAACATGATAAAAATTATTACATCTAACTAGAAAAAAGCAAACTGATGGACTGAATTCACAAATAAATAACCTCATAGCTTATTAATTTTTGAAAAACATTTTTAGATTGACCTGTCATTGCTAATGCTGAGGGGTTTTTTAATGTTCTGTGGCTGTACCACCAAATCAAAGAGGAGCTGAATGTTATAACTTAATTCAAGCCCTCTCTTGCATTATTTAAATGGTGAAATTGCCAAGTCTATGTTATAGAACATCAAGATATATACTTATAGTACCAAGATCATGGAAGTTTAATATTTAATTACAAATGTATCTAAAACATTATCCTGTGAAACTTGAGACCATATGAAATGATGCCCAATATTCTGCACTGAAAGCTACTGACTTCCTTGGAGCTGTGTGGAGTCTCATTTTACTGCAGAATTGTGATTTTGCTGTCTCAGCAATTTCCTTTTAGATTGTTGTATGGTAAGTCAGTAGGATAATTTTCAATGTCACTGAACCTTACTTGAGAAAATTATAATAATGCTGTTTACTGTAGGTAAGTGAATTGTACTTAATGGAAACATGCATCAGTGTCTTTTTGCAAATTATAATATGGAGCATTTTATGGTCGGTGGCACAGACTATGAATGATTAATTTATTATAAGACTTTTACCCTAGAGAGCAAGAATAACACTTATTTTTCTCTTTCATGCTTCTTCCTTAAATTTTCTCTTTCTTTTATGGAGCACAAGCCTTGGGCATGTTGTCTTTTTTTGCATGCATTGATATTTTGTTAACAGAATATGGATATATATACACCAGTATTGTATTTATTTATTTATTATATTTATTGTACATCTATGGTTTATTAAATACTTTAATTAAAAGGTATTTAACATGATACAGGGGTGTCTAAAAAGGCCTTAAACAGTGACAAATTTTTCTTTTTCTAATAAAAGAAAGTCAAGGTATTAATTTATTAAGTTGCAATTAAACTACAAAAATCCTTAAAAAGCTATTTTGAAGAAGTTTAAGAATATTTGATTATTTCAAAATTGCTCTGATTGCTTGATAGCATCTGTTATTAAACTACTCTTTTGTCACGTAATGATGACAGGAAAATGATGTTCTTTCAACAAAGAACTCAGTGCATGAAGTAACCTTGCTAGGCAGTCAATAAATAGCAAGTTAGATGACCTAGTTTCCTTTTTCAGGCTAAAAATAAAGTGTATATTTTTTTATTATTCAATCATAATAAGCTATTATATAAAAATCCTATAGCTTTAATGAAGTTTTCAAATGGTTTTAACATTATTTTGACTTTTTTCTTTCTGTGCTGTAACCATATAGAAACAAACGTGGCTTCCTTGGTCCTCAATCCCATCAAAAACTCAGTATTTTTGTGCTCTTCCAAAAGCTCTACCTTTACAGAGCTTTCGAGCAGTTAAATTCAGAAAGTCCATAATTTAATAATTATGTAAATAATTTCTAGACTGTGTTACTTGATTTTTTTAGTGAGTGAGTGTGGCACACTTGAACCTTTGGTGACTTCCTGATGTTGTTGGGCTAAACTAGGAAAATTCTCTAAACTCCATTCTTCATCATTTTGTAGCCAAATAAGAGTCAGTTTTTAATTAAATTTACAACCAGGAGAGATTAGTACCAAGGGATACAAATATTAGAGAAGTTACGAGATAAAGATCACATCTTAAATGTAAATGGTGCTGTAAAAAACCCCCTATCATTTGCTTTGAACTTATATTGCCTAATGGAATTCTGGATCTGGGGCATAAAATTTTATTACATTTGTCAAGAAACAAATTCGAAAATACAGAGTTAGAAATTATAAGTAGTAGATGATTTAGTGATATGATCCACATATTAAAATAGTTAGCACCTAGATGTCAGAGAAAATGTGACTTGCCAGAAGGTACTTAGTCATCCAGTGAATCCTTTAACAGCACCAGCTGGAAAGAAATTGAAATTTTCCTTTTTCCTCGAACACTGTCATGTCTTATCATCCGAGGTGCATTATTTACTCACGGACTGTCACTCTTTTCTATTTAAGATGGTGTCTGTGAGCTGTTCAACTATAAGGAATAAAAATATTCATAATGTCTTGCTAATGACAAGATGCTATTAATGTCTGCAAATGCAATGTAGCAAGTCATGTTTCCATAATTGTTCAGATATTCAAATACTAATATTTTGTCCAGTTTAGAAATACTGGTATGATTGTATGTAAAGCTAAAATACATAAACAGTCAGACTTAAGAAACGGAAACAATAAATCAGATGGTGCAAGTATTTTATCATTGAGATCACATCAGGACTCCTGAATTCACTGGTAACAACAGTACGTAGATAAGGTTTTTACGTATGCACATATTTACCAAATCAAGACCTAGCAGGAGAGAAGAGATTGACTTGAACAGCACTTCTGAGTCTGTTAAATTTAAAGTAGGATTAATAAATGCGTCTTGGGAAAGTTCTTTAAGTGTAGCAGCTCATATTGTAGGCCTAGGTGAATTTTGCCCTTAAAAAGGTAAATGCTCAGAGTCAAAATGTGCAGCTGTATTTCAGAATTGTAACTTACTGAAATAGCTCTACTAGTCCTCTGTGACTACTGAGTACAAGTGGTGATCCAGAAGTGATTGACATTTTTGTGGTTTAATTTCTCTTGGATGCTTGAGTTTTATTATTTTGAAGGAATGTGGCCTAAATATCAAAATTTTCAGCATCTGGCAGCAATTATAATTAAGTTTAAGGTTCTAATCATCCCTGTTACATGTACTGATTCATGTATTTTTCCCTGACACTACTTCATTTCAATATTTGTTTTCCAGATAAAGGCTTATATTCATATAACTCAGGTAAATTTTCAGCATGCCAGAAATGCTTATTGCTTCCATATGCGTGCAAAATATAATTTTATTGGTGTGCTTTTGCTACCTTTTGTGCTCATGCTAAATTGCTTAAAAGTTCCTTGGCTTTTCTTGTCTGCTTTTCAGTAATAGGTCTTTTGTTGGCTTTCTTTCTCTATTCTTAACATTTCAGTATTGATATTGGAGCACTATTGTAACACCATACTTGCTTTGCTTCCCTTTATTTTAGGTACAGCTATGGTAGGAAAACTGTAGTGAGCTTTATTAGCTATATTAGGAAAATGCTATTTTGCTTAAGCTACATTAAAAGGAACACTGTTATATTACAGCTGCTTGAGAATTAGTGTAAGTATTTTTAGAATGCAGACATGGGGTAAGTTAAGAACTGGCAAAATCAGTCTTTACACTGATATGAATTTCTATAATTTAATAGTGCTTTAAATTCCCCATTACAAATCCAACTGAGAAGTTTGCCTTAATTAAATATAGGTAAATTAATAATGTGCAGTTTTCACAAAACTTAATTTTCACAAACTTAAATTTTGTAGTGCATTTCATGTGGGACTTTTTGCAGTTCTGGAAGTTTTAATTATTGGAATCTCCTTGTGAATTGGTTCAACTAATTATCTTTTAGTTATGTTTAAAAAATGAAACACACGTTGTTATGAAAATAGATTCATATTATGGTGGAAAGAAACAAAAACCCCATAGCGTAGTGCTTTCTTGAGAATAGTACTAACAAAATCTGGTTTCCATTACATCTAATGTCAATCGCTCCTATTTCTTCTATTTCATTCTCTCCTGAAATTATCCCACATTCTTCTTATTTTTTTACAATATCTTCACATGGGAAGAGACCAAGTTTGCTGTGGCATCTGTGCACATGTGGATTAGAACTTGTGCACATGTGGATTAGAAACAAATTTTAGCTCGATATTGTTTCTTTTTAATTAAGTTCTAATTTGTATCTCTCTCTTCTATCCAGTAACCATTTTCAAAGATCTGCAGAAACTTGGTAGGATTTGGTATTTATACTCTGTCAATGTAGATGAAATTGGTAAAAAAGTCCAAAACCCACTGTTATATACAGGAGGATAAGTGACATATTCACGTGGAGACAGCAGGACTGCATTAGAAATTATCTCACACTAAGAACCCTCAGGCACAGGCTGGATGAATATCAGACAGCAAATTCTTAAGACAGTTGTGAGACTGATTTTGGGATTGCTTATATGTCAGCTTTGTACACAGAACAATTACAGGCAATGCTAAGGGACTTTAAGTGGTTGTGAAGGCCTTCTGTAAGCTTCAGGGAAGGAACTATAAGCATGCTTCACTACCCTTTTTTCTCTCAAGAAGTCTATAAAACCTTGGAAAAAAGCTTCCTGCACTGTAAGGGACAGGATCCCCAGCTTGGGAGCTTGGTCTGCTTTCTTCTTTTTAGTTTTGGGTTTTTTTCCTCCACAAGAAAAATTAGAGAATTCCTGAGCCATAAATCTGGCACTTGCTTCTGTATTTAAGCTGAGTAACCTTAATTTTATTTCTTATTCTATCTCCTGTCCTAGCCCATTCTATATTAGTTGGTTGTATGGATTTTTGTAGAGTTTTGAACCTTATGCATTGGTCTTCTCTTGAGGTCTATAACAGAAATATCATTGGGAAATATATGAAGTACAAAAGGTATTATATCTTGCATTATTACCTCTGTATACTAACAGTAGAGTGAAGCAAAACTCTGTGCCAACTTTAGTTGTCATGTAGAAGGCAGTATTTTGGAACCCTCCACAGATTTTGGTTGCTTTGCAAGAAAATATTTGTTTGCATATTGTTTCATTCATCTGGAAGAGCTCCAGCTATTTAGAATCTTGTTATGGATATAAACGTGATTCTGATGAATTAGAATAGAATATTTCCATTGGCAGGGTCCTACAATGATCATCTAGTTCAACTGCCTGACCACTCCATGCTGACCATATGTTAAGGCATGCCATTAAATGCATTGTTCAAATTCCTATTAAACACTGACAGGCTTGGGAAATTCAAAGAATATTCTCTAAATATTTTTTCAATTATTCCCATATTATTCTTATTCAGAAGTGGTTAATGCTTTCATGGCCACCAACACTGCAGCCCATGAAAAGTTAACAAAAAAATAAAAGGGGTTAATTCATAAAATTGAAAGAAACACCTTGTTGTTTTCTTTATATTATTGCTAGCCACGAAGATGAAAAATAGAAATGTTTTCATACTAAGAAACTACTGTATTATAAATCCTTTCTCTGCCTAATAGAAAGTAAAAATGTAAATAGGAAAATAGTAAAAACTGAAACAGAAGTACTTGCTAAATGGAAATTGAAAATAGTGGTCCTAATGGGTTTTAGGTGGTGGGGTTTTCCCCCAGTCCTGCAATGGAAGCTACAGTGAAAGTGCTGTAAACTTCCAGTCCCACTGTGTTCGTGTTATTGCAGAGTTGTGCTGGGGGGGATGGTGGCATGAGCAGCTTTGTAGGGAAGGAGTAGGTAGATGTGAAAGGGCAGGAGGATCCTTAGTGTTGTCAAGGTCTGATGAGTCGGTTTTCCATTGTCCCTGGAAAAATTTTGTGGATAGTTAAGGCTATTAAACCCAAACCTCCTAAAGTGAATAGGAATATATCTTTTGATGTCACTGGGTCTAGGGTTATGCTGAATTAAGGCATTTTTATGAGGGTTACAGTAGCTAATCATAGAGCATGGGGTCTATTTTGCCTTCAGTCCATAACTGTAATAACTGTTAATCCTGGTGGAAGGAGTTCAGAAGTCCATATTTACCATCTGTTGCCACCCAGCTATCAGACAAAAGGGTAATAATACCTCTAATACAGTTTCATTAATAAGCTAAATACCAGTAGAATGGCAGTGAGACCTGATTAATACCATTTCTCATGTTTAAAATCCATCAAAGAAAAAGTTAATTATATGCAGACCATTGGCATCCATGCATTTGTTTGATGCATCCAGTGTCCTGAGTGTTACATGCTTAAGCTTTTTACTGAACTTTGACTTTATGTTTGAATGGATTTAAATACCCTATTTTGTAATATATATGTCAAACAATTTAAGATATACACTAAAATACTAAATAAGTGTTTGATTCTCTATATTAATTTGGATTAATTTGTGAGAGGCTTCATTGTCACATTTCCCAGATAAAATATGAATTGCTCTTTCTCATTTTTATGATCAGTGATTCAAATTGCTTAGATAATAAAGTACTATTTTGAAAAGACGTGGCTAAGGTGGGACTGATGCCCAGATCTTCAAATTTACATTGTCAATATGTTAAAAAGAAAATTACCTTCTAAAATTAATATACAGCAGATGAAATTACTTTTGGAAAAGTTAGAAGAAATATTAAACTAAGCTGCCAGCACTTATATTGGCATTTCAAATCCTTGGTTCAGTAAAAGATTCTGACCTCTGCCCTTTCTAGTTTGTTCCATTTCTGAAGTTAATGGAAGATGTTTTAAATAAATATAATCTGATTCCTTTGCAGAAGTTATATATTCCAGGCAGTAGTTCTTGACATTACATGTTTAATTGACATGCTTTCCTTCCTCTGTCCTTTCTGAAAACATCAGTTTCCAATGATAAAACCAAGTAATTGATTCTGCTTTGAATTTCCTCTGACTTCTTTACCATCATTTAAATTTACATTTGTAAAATAAATGGGAAATATTACTTAAACATGATTATTATTTTTCAGTGGGTTTATCTGTTAGTAGTTAGAGTTGGGTAAAGTAGCTTGGGGAGATAGATGATCTGATCAAGCTTCATAAATCATCTTAGAAATAAAGTTTTCATATTTAAGTAATGTCAGCTATTACTAGAGTGTCTCCTCTTTGCAGTTAAAAATACGATTTGGGAAAGCTCTGAAATTTGATTCTTCCCTTGTTTTTATTCTTTCTCTGGTCCCATCCTTTGGGCACATCTCAATCCTGGGCTGTTCACTTTCCCCATGCCCCAGCTCTTCCCTGAAGCTTGGATGGGAATAAAGATAGAAGTCTGTACTTCAAAAGAGAAAAGAGTCTCTAGATCCTGGAAGATTATTTAGAGCTGAGTATTAGGAGATTCTGGAGCAGATGGATCTCACTTGGGGAGACAGAGAGAGAGAGAGAAAGAAAGCCCTGTCTCTTATGCCCATGGTCTGTCGAAGCTTCTTAATCTCTCTTTTCTGCCAGATGTATCCTGTGACTACAACAACATAATTTTAGCTACACAGCTGGGAAGTCTATAGCCCACTGTGACAACAGCTGACTATTTTCATCCTCAAAGATGCACATCTTTCCTCCAGAATACAGAATATTCTAAAAATATGTTTAAACAGATGTACTTAGCTGTAAATACAAACATAAATGAAAAGCAAACTCAGTTGTAATTAATTAGATTCATTCATAAGAATGAATTAGATGATGAGTAAATGATATCCATTGAAATCATAGTTGATTCAGCTTTTTACATCTTTCGTGATACAAACCTTTCCAAGCATCCATGTGATGAGCATCAGCAAACTGTTCAGTTTCCCTCAGCTTCAGGTTCCACAATCTTCTCTCTGATGGAGACTGAGTGATGTTGCTGGCATCTCTGCACAGCAGCCACAGATCTGCTACCAGAGCCATGTCGGGGTTTCCAGAGGACAAAATCACACTGCTTAGCACTCATTTTGGGGACTTCTACCTTTCAGACCCCAGCCAAATCCCAGCCAGCCAGTAGGGATCTTTTGCTTAGTGTTTGGTCACAAATATTGTCCTTCTTTAATGATCTGGTTTTGAATCAGTGGCTAAGGAAAATGGAGACTAATCCTGCTTGCTCACTGGCATGTATATCAGCACACAAGTAAAAGGCTTTGCTGAAAACGGCAGCAGGAACAGCATCACAGGTGGAGTGGTTGCTTTCTTAGGGAAGAAAGAAAGATTTTTATTGGGCCTCTGTAATACTCTGATTAAGAAAATTATAAGAGGAGGTCAAAATCTTTTCCTTTACTCCTGCCCTCATCTTCTAGGTTTTCTTGAGGGCTAATGGTCATCACTTTCTTGTTATTTTTTTACAGAAAGACTTTACTTTCTGTTATTTCTTAAAGACACCTGTCCCCCACCCATTGTAGCATGACTATTAATAAATGTTTTTAATAAATTGATCTGATAATTCTACCATATGAGAATTGCATGACTTTCCCTGTAGTTATATTAATTTCCTGTGAGGAAAGCACCAACCTTTACTGCAATTGTATAATCACAATTAACATTTCTGTACTGAAATTGCATAATGTATTGGCAGATGAGATTGTTTTCTAAGAATTAGCACATATCACACTTATACCATTTTTTAGTTGAATAATTTTTAAGCTGAGAAATTTTTCCCCAAAGAAAGAGTCTGCAGTCTAGTTTATAAATTCATACACCCACATCTTAATTGCTGAAATCACTTCTGACTTCTCATAAGGGGCACAGAGGAACTAGAAAATATACAAACAAATACAGCAGGAACAATCACAAATATGGAATTGTTTGCATATGCAAAGGAACAAAACAATGTTTTTTCAACTCAAAAAAACCCCAAACAAGATGGTTATAGAAGAATACATAATGCTGATTCAAGTTTTCAGAATACAAAGGCTTGGAGGGCATTGTCTGAAATAATCTAATAGAAATAAAATATTGGAAAGTTGATTTCACACAATGCATAATTGAACTGCAGAATTCATTGACATAGCATATTACAAGGGCCAAGAGAATACTGTGAATTGAAATTCTATGAATTTGTGGAGAATGAGTTGATTACTTACTTATGGTAAAAAGCTTAGGAGAAGTCTCAGTTGCCAGGATGCCTGCCTGCTGAAATCTAGAAGGGTGTAACATAGAAATGTTTTTTTCATACAGATCTTGTAAGGACACTCTTTCTACTAAAGAAGGACCTTTCACTATCCCCTGATGGGTAGACAAATATTAGACAGTCTGACAAACAACAGCAGTTCTCCTAATTAAAATAATTTCTAACATTTCATTAAAATGAAAACTTTATTTTTGTCAAAATTCCTCTTAGCGCTTGTTCTTCCAGTTTTCTATTGGGAAAAGGAGAGTACAGACCCTTCTGTGCCACTCACCCAGATAGAGCATTGGTACTGCTTTGTCCTGGGTTTCTTCAGGTTTATTCCCAGTTTTTGCTTGTATTTATGTGTGTGTTTCAGAATAAATTGTGCTGTGTCAGGTATAAAAAAAAATCTTGCACATGGTTGAAATTGTGTTGACAATTAAAGTTTCTACCTTCTAGTCTAACCTTCTAGTTACCTATTTTTAGATGGCCAGAAAATTAGAATGGACACACCATTTTGGTGAAGAACAGGGTTTTTCACATTTTAAACAAGTAAATGAATAATTAGAATTAGAATTCACATGCCAGTGCTTAACTCTGATCTCAGCAATCAAATGCTGTTTAAAAGATGCCACAGAAGACTGAAGTAAAATGAAGGTAAACACAAACTGATGTATATACTCACCCTACATTTTGGCTCTGGTTGTGTTTGTGGAATCTACTTTCTCCAGCTAAGCTCTAGCTATTTTGGCAGGTGTATTCTTACAGAGCATTTAATAGTTTGCTTGTTTCTCATGGCACACTGTATGTGTGAAGCTACCTGTTTTCCTGATAATACGTTGCTAAGACCTCAAAGAAAATCCTACCTCCATTTAATATTATTGCTATTAATAATTTTTCTGTCATTCAGAGACTTTGGGGAGGGATGGTGCCATTATATGAGAACTTGAAAGATGAACAGTGTGAATCCAGTTTCTGTATGGAATTAATACATATAGATATGAAGTACATGAAAATATTTCATAAAAGCAATGTTGTGAAGATGTATTTCAGCATTTTATTTTATATTACATTAAAGATTTAGCTGAAAATAGTTGGTACAAACTAATACATTAGCAATAATATAACATGAATAATTAACCTTATATGCTGATATTAATGCTTCATTGTCTAGGATGAAATCTGTACATTTATTTATGTGTTATTGTCTGAGGAAAGTTTTAACGTGCAGGAAGACAAATGATACATTTCTTTTTTTTTTTTCCCCCAGGATCCAAAAGAATCAGCGACAGTGAAGTCTCTGATTATGATTGTGATGATGGAATTGGTGTTGTTTCAGGTATTGTCTAAACTTACATGTCTATGTTCAGTAGAAATATAACTTATCCACAATTTATTATGAATTTTATGTTTTTCTGGTGAATAATAAGTGGGACCTAAACATATACTTTTTCAAGAGACAAAAATAAGTATTATGAGTAATGCATATTAGCCTCAAAAATTACTTATAGAGGGGGAAAAATTCAGTGTGAATTTCCTTGTTGCTTTTATAAAATGATAAAAATAGCATAAAAGTAGTGTTTTTATTAAATGCCTAGAAATGTTCATTTGATTAATAGTCACTAAGTCTTTCAGATTGCCTGTCCTCCCAAAAATAAGGGCTCCCATATTGCTGTTGGTGAGTTGAACTAGAAATGTATCAACTTAACTTTGGAGCATAATAATAAAGGTAATGGAAAAAGGGGGATTGGTGAATGTATTTCTAGAGTGCCTACTGTGGCATCATTTTGAAGCTGATATCTTTTCCTTGTCCTGGAAAAAGGTATTGAGTTTTGCAGAAGTTTTGCCAGGTGCTTGAACATCAGAGAGATTCTTATGAAACATCTAGATTTACAATTTTATGATTTGATAAACTCATATTTTGACAACTTGTAAAATTATGGTCTTTACAGTTCAGTGAATAAGTCTACTTCCCTTCCCTGAGTTTGTGATATACCTTTAGGATCTTTTAGCTTTTGAATTTTTGCTGTCAATTCTTTACCTTAGTTGCATTTTAATTCAGCCTGTCTGTGTGGTAGGAAAGTTTGATATCTTTTGGTTTTGAAATACTAATTTATTACCTTTCTTTTTTTGTGCTACTGTCTCTATGTTTGCAAGTCTTTTGGTTTATCCTTGTCTTATCATCCACTCTCATATCATCCCTCTCTCGTTTAAGGGTTCCCTATTCATTTGCAGACTCATCACAATCTTGGTTTAAATATGTACCTTCTTTGCATGAAGCCATTTGTCTGTTTTTCTTTCTTATTTACCCCAGTTCTTTCATTTTGTATTTTCAGGTCTTATTTAACATGACACTTCACTTTGCTCTTTTTCTGTCTACCATATAAATAGTGTATTACATGAAATATGTTTGCTAACATCTGTTAAGTACTCTCAGTGATCCTTTCTGTAAAATTAATGTGTATTCCAAGTATCATACCCGTGAACTAAACTCTAGAAACCTTAAGGAAGAACAGGAATTCTGTTTTGGCTCCTCTTTAATTTACTTTTATTCATAATGGTAAACTAGATGTCCCTTAAGGTTCCCTTCCAACTCAAACCATTTTAATGTTTAATCATCTCTTGGAAAAATTAATTGCAAAAGTTATCACTTCTTTCACTTGGATCAGCCTGCTTAGAAAAATGTAATAAATATTGGTCTGTTGTTTCTGTCAACAAGAAAGGCTTTTAAGGAAACAATGATAAATAGATTGAAAAACTTATACATCTTTTTCTCTGCCTACATGTGTATTCTACACCAGCAACTCTCACAAAGGATTATATTATGTATTTAAAAACAAATTTTTAGAAGATTTTAGAAGAACTCTCTTCAAATATCATGTACCTTCATCATAGGATCAGAAACGCTAGAACAGATCTATTATGTTTCGTCTTTGCTGGATTTAATCTTAGCATAGGATAACAGAAGGAACGTCATTAGCAGTTCTGTGTTTGTCTTTAGATTGCTTATGCATAGCCCTCCAACCATCTAAAGCATTCATTTTGGTGTCCTGAATAATAAACTTTGGCCCTCAAAGTTATCTGGCACCAGCAGCTCTGTGTGGGTGTACATCAGCATTTCTACACGCCCTTTAGGATACTCTTACGTGCTTATTGATAAAAGCAATACAGTATTTTTATATTGATTTTTAAAAAATTCCTGAGCACTTTACAGAAAATTATTTAAATTACAACACTAAATAAAATTTGGGAAAAAAATAGGGTGACTTTTTGAGTGTTTTTTGTTTGGTTTGTTGGTTTTTTGTTTTGTTTTGGTTTGGTTTTTTTCTTTCTAGTGTGCAAAATTCAATGGGCATTATAGTTGACAAGTTCAATGGATATGGACTATAATTTCTAAATAGTTTTCTTCCCAGGTACTTCATAGTTTTATGTTGAACCTGCTGTAACCTACTGAGTACAGGCAGCCCACTGAGTCTGACTTTATGAACAGAGACATGTATTGTCAAGACCATTTAATCATAAAATTCTCATAATTCTTGTAAGACTAAAATATTAAGTGAGATATTAATTTTTAAAATTCAGTTCTACACCAATATCTTATCTACATTACAACGTATTATGAAATGCTATTAATCTGAGATGTTTCAACAAATGAATTGTGGAAGAATGTAAGGCAGTGAATTTTGTATAAACTGCATTGCAAGTCTCTAGAGAAGAGTTTTACCAAGTAAAAGAATGCAACCCCCTGCCTTGAGAAGAAAAGCATTTATAGTGATAAGTTGTTATCATTATGCAAAGGATAGCAGTATGTTTCAGGAGCAAATGAGAATACAAATAAGATATTTATTCAGAGGATAGTTAGAACCAAGTAAATTAGAAAAAAAACCCAGTAACAATCAATAAAGAAATTATTATTGAACTTACAAAACTGTTTCTGTGTTTGAAGAAGAATGAAAAGCAATTATCCATTTTTGCTGCACTTCTCAAAACACCTGAGGAGTCCTTTTTTTTTCAAAAGAATTCTTTCACTGTCATGTTGCAGCCCTCCCTGCAGAGGAAATAAAAGTCCTTTTCTCTACTTGCTGATAGTGTGAGCTGAATTTTTATACTTGAATCTTGTTGATGATTGCTTATCAAAGCAGATACAGAACACACAAACACTTTGGTTATAGCTTGGAATCAACTGCCTATAGAAAGACACAGCATTAGCACATAGAGTGGGGTGACTTCAATCCCTACTAAAATACAGATTTCATTGTAGATCACTAGCTAACCTTAAATGGGAGCCTGTAGTGACCCAATAGGCTGGTAAGTACAGACACGAATACTCACAAGCTTCTTCTTCTATTATATGTTGATACCCAATGCCCTGCTCTAAAATCTGTTCTTTCTGGGTTCTCCCTTGAGTTAAACACATGTGTCTCAAAAATCCCCCCCAAACTGGAAGTGAAATTCAAAACATTTTAAAATGGCTGCACCCTTAGGTCAATAGATCCCTAATCATTTTTCTTACTTTTAAACAAACTATGTATACATTATTTGCAACTTTATGCCTAGAGTTGTTTACACTTTTTATAATTCAGACCTGAAGTTTTAATTTTATCTGTTTTAAGAGAGAATTGACTAAATATATACTTAATATACTTGACTTAAAGTATTTATCCACACATTATGGCTTTACTATGCAAATATTATGCTATGAAAGGTATATGTTCAACCTTTTCCTTACATTTTTAGATTAATTTCTTAATGTATACTTTTTTTTACATGTTTGTTCTCTTATTATTTGAATTTTTAACTTAATATTTTTATTATTAAAAAAAAATCTTTAGTATAATTTCCTCAGCTGTCAAATCATCTTTCTCTTCAAACATCTAAATTCTCTCAGTGTTTTTTTAACTAGTTAAAACTAGTTTTAAACGATTTATAAATATAAATTATATCACTTCACTTTGAAAGTAAATGCTTAATTTAATAGAAGTTTTATTTTTGGATTATTAGTAATTATCAGTAGCATTCTCTTTGAGTGAAATTAAGCAAATATGAGCTGAGCATTTTAGTTCTTATTCTATCACAGTCCTAATTCCTACGGAACAACAAAAGCAGATAATTGGCAATGGAAATCTGCAATGAAGTTGCATTCCTATCAGAGATGCTCTTGAGGGACACTTCTCACATAAGGACAAGCCTAGCTGGGGTGAATTAAATCATGGTGATGAGCACTTCTGAGAGGGAAATGCTGCATGACAAGACTGATAAGTTGCAATCAACAGTGTGAAGAGGGGGATAGTTTGGGGGACTTGCTGGACAGATGAAAATATACATGGATGAGTGCTTAACTAAGAAGAAACATCTCTATAGTAACTAGTAGTTTGGTTTCATTTGTCCCAAGACTTTGCAAGTCTTACTGGGTATAGGGACAGGACTGAAAACTCAGCAAGCTCTGGTTTCTTACTATGTGGGAATGCTCTTCCATACACCTTCATGATCAAAAGAATTGTCTCAAGTGTGATGGGCTCATAGTGCTGTAGAGCTAAAAATACCTCTAAGGAATAGAGTTAATGCAACAAGTAACCAGTTGTTCCTACTGTAATATTTACTTGTTCCTTTCACTACACATTCATTCTTCCCACATTTATAGAATAAGATTATGATGCAAAAAAATTCCCCAAAGCAATGAATAATGTATCTTCAACTTATAGACTATTCAAATATTAATAATTCAATTTATTTTATCAGTTACTGTCAGTACTTGTTTTAGAGGACATCCAAATTCTTCATTTAGTTGTTCAAATCACCATAGAAGCTGAGTACATTTATATAAAAGAACTAAACTCTCTCCAAAGTGCCCATGTGTGAAATCTTAGTATGTTAAGCATTTCTAGTAATATGATTATATAATTGTTTTTAATTAGTTCTAAACCCAACCACAGTGAGTGTTAAAAAGTTAAATATCTGATATAGAGAAAGCTTGATGCCTCAGTCAAGTACAGATGTTAAAGTGGAGAAAATGCCACTTAGCATCAGTGTCAGAAACAAGTCAATTGCATTGTCTGTGATGAACAACAATTCTAGTATTGTATTTCTAAAACAATTTTCATACAAAGAGTTTCTTTCAAGTCAACAAAGCAGCGAGGCATCTAAATTAAAAATCTTCATTTTTACACTTCAGTTAATTTTTTTAGGGTTATTTTAGGGCTGTTGATGTGAACTTCGTATTTGGAAGTTTGTCATTTTCTGAAAACTGCAAAATTGGTAAGAATTCATTAATATCAGTATTTACTGAACATGTACCCTTCATAGCATAATATTTGCATAGTAAAGCCATACTGTGTAGATAAATACTTTAAGTCAGGTATATTAATAGTCTCTCTTAAAACAGATGAAATTAAAACTTCAGGTCCAAAGAAGCTGTATGAAGTGTGCCTTGTAATATCCCTCTTTTGATGTGTATTGGTTTTTAATTAAAACTTCCCATGAAAAGAGGAAGATGGTGACATTGCAGATATCTTTGTCTTGTGCCCATCTTTAGGTGTCTTCAGCTCAAGTTGTTTGCCACTGATTATACTGATTATCAGGTTCTGTGTGCTCTCTATGTTGATTTAAGAGGCTTGCCATAGTTATAAAGCCTTTGATTCTATGGTAATGACTCAATATTTATAGCTGCAAGCAGATTCCAATGTTTATTCTATTTTTACTACTGCTATAAATAATTATCTGCTTTGCTCAATAGCAACTCGTTGGTCAAGCTGCATTTATGACCTGTTTTTCTGTCCATAATTTCCTTCCATGAGAGTATATTTTTACTTACTTTCACCAACAATGTTTCCAGGCTATGGAATACTTTTTAAATTGAAGTTAAATCACACCTACAGTACAGGCAGTTAAATCAGCTGCATTAACTCTAGAAAACTAAAAGATGACTTTGGAATTATCTCATGTTAGTGGGTTGCCCTATTGAAACTGCTACTCTTCAGTGTGTGGCCTGTTGGCAAAAGAGAAGTTTATAAATATAGCAATTTTTGTTTTGAGTAGATGAGTCATGAATTTCAAAGTTTATTTTCTGGCAACAAAGCATAGAAAATATTAATCTGTTTCTTTGAATACAGCTAGACAGGTCTAGTTTTGCTGATGTAAAATTACTAGGAAAGCTGATAGTTTCTGCCTTTTGATATGTCATAAGGACACAGAACCAGTGTTAGTTACCAGAAAGCAATGCATGTCTGTTTCCAGTTTAATGTAAACACCAGTTTGGATCAATATTAGACTTAGCAGTTAATTACATAGTCATAAACTTTTTTTGCAACAATACTGTGCAAATGGTCAACTACAATAAACAAGTTAGAGCTGGAGGAGGTTTTTTGTTTCAAAGTAATTAATTTGTTTCTTTATACAGATTTGTTTCTACATACAGATTTAATAAATACAATAATGTTGATTTACTGCTTCTCACTTCTAGGAATTTTTCAGACCAAAGAGGTTTTCGTTTGTATTTTGTTAATTGATTACCTTGCCTTTCATTATGTTCATTCAGGTAGAATACCTTGTGCTATTGCTCCTTCCCCTTGTTCTTCTATGTCTGTACATGCCAAATATTATATAAACTGTTGGGTTTTTTCTAAAAGATTTTCTTATTTCTTCAGATTACTACTCCTCATTGTTTTCCATCTCCAAATGCAACAAATTGTTGTGTATCCAGAATACAAAAGAAACTCTGCCTTTTTTATATCAATAGATATGTGTTATTAGGATAATAAGACAATATTTCTGTCTGTGTACTTGTACTGTAAATCATGTTTTTTATTTCAGTATATAGAAGTTCTTAAAAACTTGCTACTCACTTGTGTGTGTGGTGGATTGACCCTGACTAGAGTCCAGGTGCTCACCAAAGCCTCAGAAGATTCTCATGGGATATTGTAGTCTCAGAATATTGTAGTCTCAGTAGATTCTCATGGGAAAAGAATAACAATGTTATGAGCCAGATTTTTTCCAGTGTCAGATGGATCTCTTTAAGTATTCTTTACTTGGTTACTGTCTTTAGAATAAAGAAGACAGTTATATCAGTTGTCATAGCCACCAGGAACTCTCTGAAGACTTATTTCTGCAAAACATTGCAATCAAGTTAACAGTTGCAAACCTTCAATTTCTTATCATCATATTTTAATTTGATCTTCAATAAATTTGTGGAAACTTATTTGAAATTGCTGTATATCTGGCATCTTTTTTCCAGAAATTGTGGCACCCTGGGATGCTGAATTGAAATTTTTTGAATTAAATTAATTTTGAACTAATAAATCCAGATCCTAAAAGAATTCTTCTTAAAAGCCTGTGTAAAATGTCCATTTGGTAGCCTTTTAAACTAGTGTAACTTGGAAGACTTTTGCTTAGATCACTTACGCCTTCTATTACCCTAATTCAAGATTAGGTCCAGGATGCTGGTATATTTGTGAAGGAAAAATAGTGTTTTAGTTCAGAATCACTAGTGAAATCTGATATTACTTTAATTATTTCAGAAATGCAAATCTTTCTTCAACCCAAACTCTTTTTAAACTCCATAGTAGTTACCTACCACAAATTTTCAAACTGAACTTTGGATTAATTTTTAATTGTGGACATTTCTGTTTGAAATACATTATTACACACAATAGTTGCAATATAATTTTAGTTAAAAAAGTAAAAATTAATTTGTTATTCTAAGGAAAAAATCAGTTTTCTTAGTTTCATTAATAATGCATCATATTGACCACAAATAAAATTTAAATTTGGGTATTTTTATTATTATAAATCCCCAGTTTGGTGCATATGTCATTAATTTCTATTCTCTTAAAGTATAACTATAGGAACTGTAACGGTTCTAAAATAAAGTGTAACAACAGGAGCCAACTTTACATACGTATGTTTTATTATAGAACACAAGAAGACGTGGTAACATTATTGATCAAATTCAATCTTTTATCATGTTTCTCACTACTACAGTCCTCGTAGGAAATTAAAAAGTTCAACTTCAGATTCACTGAATATTTGCATTTCTTTTTAGATTATCGGCATAATGGGAGAGATCTTCAAAGTTCAACATTATCAGTGCCAGAACAAGTTATGTCATCTAATCATTGTTCTCGATCAGGGTCCCCTCACCGTGGAGATAGTATAGGACGGACTAGATCGTGGTCTCCCAGTGTCCCTCCCCCACAAAGGTAAACTATTATTTAACTATGCAATTATGTACATTTTGGTGGTGGTGTTCCTGTACCAGTATTGGAAAGAACCTCCGGACTTTCAAAATGGCAAAGAACTGGTTAGATCTTACAAAATTATGTAAAGCCAATAATGTTTTTTCTTACATTATACTGATGTGCCTAATTTATACCTAATTTTATAGTCTTTATTATTACTTTATTTTTATGATATGATTATAGAATTATATATTTATATATAAATATATAAAATTATATTATTACTATACCTATTTTTGTCTAATTTTTCATCAAAAATCAGTGCAGTCCAATCTAAGGAAAGCAAAATATTCTCCGTATTTTAATTTTCTAGAGCTATTTAGAAGGTACCATATTTTATAGTATATGGTGGTTTGACACTCCCTTAACACTTATTTGACAATGGATGTTTTCAACCCTTTCATTTGTGTAGAGTCAAGGTTCTGGGAGAGCTGCACTTCCTGCCTGCAGTAGCTTGCCTTCTACTATTTTTTTCATACTTTCATCAAGCATCAAGAATAAGCTGATATACATGCAGTTTTATATTGAGAAATGTCAACTCCTGATCTTGGAAGGTCTCTGATAACTATCCTATGAAACAAAGATCAGGAAATTTCTTCCAAAAGCTATCCCTTTTGGATAATGACCTCTACGTGATTGAATATACCGCTTAAGCAAAAAGTAGGAAAACTCTTGCAAAATAAACTTTCTTAAGAGGAAGCAAAAGGATAGATGCTGTTTTCCAGCACTTTTGTTGCTATGCATGGATAGGTTTCCAAACGGTGTAATTCAATTGGAATGAAAGGGGAAGTTATTTCTTTTGCCCATAATGTTCACAATTCCCCTTTAATACTGCAGATCTGGTATCCACTATTTCCTGCCAGGTAAATTTGTCTATCCCATTCTGCTGCAGCCATTCTGTGCTCTGCTTTCCCTTCTGTTATCTTTATTCTCTTTGTTAACTTTAAATTCTCTTGACTTCCTACTTTCTTAATTATGTTTTTACCTACCATTTCCTCTAACGAATGTAGACTATATGATATCCTTTTCCATTAGTGAGGTATTAGTTTCCCAAGATTATCCCATCTCATCTCATCTCATACAGCTAACAGGGAGAAACTGTGTGTTTCTACTTGAAATCTACACCCATATAAACCATACAGTGTGACTTCAAATGAGACATAAACAGTACATACAAGGGACCTATTCTGATTTTTACTGTACTGATTTCAGCCTAAGTAATTGCCTGTGCTAAATCTGCAGGGTTTATTTGTCTTGAATATAAACATAAATGTCAGCAAAATCTCTTTATATGTGTATGTTTGTGTTTTTATGTGTGCACGCGTGCTTTATGCATTTTGGGCAGAACTCTTACCCAAGCTAGTAATTAACACTTATTTAACACCATTGAAAACCCTTTTCATTTTTTCGTAGTTTTGCATTTCTTTCAATGTTCAAAATGTTTCTTGCTTTTGAATTTCCTAAAGCTAAATTTTTAAATATAGTTTTGCATTTATTGCAGCTGTTTCCTTCAATGTCAGAATCAAATGCATTATTTATGTAATATTTCCCTGCCAACACACCACATCTTTTCTGTGAGGACTTGCTGAGCTCAAAAAATTGGGATACCAGAACTTGAGGGTTTGTAGAAAAGCAGCACAATCCATGGGTTGCAGGAATGTCTTTTTAAAATCTACTGAAAATGCTCAGGAAAGCTATGAGCATTGTCAATCACATAGCTGAATTTTGGTTGAGTTTGTTGTACACATGCTGCTATACAGATGTCTTAACTGCAGTAAGGCTGCTGCACACCCAGAGACTTCTCAGTTAGTGACTGACAGCTCTGCAGGCAGGAGCTCTTGGGCCATAGAAGTTATATCTTAGAAGCGATTTTTCAGTCCTCAGTCCTTCTACTGAATTTTTTAATGAACTCCACCAAAGGCCCATCAAATAGTAGCTGACAAGAAATTAATGCTGGCCATAGTGTTTCAGCTAACACATTTAATGGACTGTTATTCTCTCTGTAGATCAGAATGGAGTTTAGACTGTGGCAGGCATGGAACAACATTGAGTTAAGCTTTTTCTAAACCTATATATTTGAAAAAGCAAGATGAAGGTGACTATAGGGAGTAGTTATGCTGAAATGTTGTGATAAATCCAGAATGCTTATTATTCTCTACTATCATCACCTGCAATGACAACTTTTCACCTGCATACCTGTTATCTGGTTGCTCCGTACGTGTTCTGTCAACTGCAAGAAAGTTCCAAAGGAGTGATGACATGTTGTGTAAGAAACTTTTTGTATACAACAAGGTTCATTAGAAGAAGTATGTAACTTTCTGTTAAATAGTAAATCTATCTGACAAAGATATTCCCGGCAGAGTGAAACAGAATTGAAATAGTATTAGCACTTTGAAATAGAAGAAATACAGTAGTGTAGGATGTTAAAAATCAGCAAAAAGTCAGAATCTGATATAATACAGAAATTTCAAGAAAAAAATTTATTGAGAGCAATAAGCCCATAACATAATCTTATAGAAAGTGATTTTAGCATAGAGGATGGTATTGAGTTTTCAGGACTAAGTCTTATAATCAGAGTTTAGGTAGACGTTTTGTTTTACTGGGCAGACAGCATAGATCTTTGAGAACTTTACAAAGAATGGTAGCTTGAGAAATCTTAAATATTAAGTCAAAAGAAGATATAAGTAAGATAAAATAGTTTTTTTTGAAACCTGAAAGAGAAGAGACACCCTGGGGGAGAGGGTTGGACAGACTCTAGAGTACAGAAAGGAGGAATGAGAACTGGTTGTTGGGAAAGTAAAAGAGTTAACAAAGGACAACAGAAGAAAGTGTAAAGACATGTGAAAGTATTCAACAGCAGGTAAAGACTATACTGTATTTTCTGTCTTTTCTGTAAGAATGGGGAAGTTAAAAGACAAACAGAAAAATTCTTACAAGAAAGAGTTTTAGAGCAGAAGGTAGAAGAATTACGCTCTTAATATGGCAAATATAAATTTCATTAGCCAGAATAAACTTTATACTTGGTTTCATGAATGCCAGAGTGGAGAATGCTTTATAACAGATGAGGTGAAGGTAAAAGTTCATGTGTAGTGCAACATCTTCATAGCACTTATATGCAGAAAAAAACAACAACATGGCAGCAGCAGTGAAGGATACACATACAGGTTAACACTAATCAGGAATTGGTAAATGACAAGGGATAAGGATGATGGTACCAAAAGGACAGACAAAGCGACAAGAAAGGACACAGGATCTAAATGTGATAAAAATCAGCAGCAACAAAAACCAAACCAGAGGCTCACATTAGTGCAGATAGCAGTAGAAGACAGGAGACAGAAGAATTTATTGGTCTAAAACTTGAATTTGTGTGGAGGAAGCATGCAATCTGTCATTTTCAAATCTATACAAAACAATTATATTTTAATTATCTAATAATTATTACAGTTAACTTGTCTTCTATTTCCTATTCTTGTGGATTTTTTTACAGAGCAGAAAAAAGTGAAGTTAGTGTATCAGTAGGTATCAATAGTTGAACTGAGTAAAGCAATCAATGGGCAAAGCTTTGGTCTCAAGTAGTACAAAACTGTGATTGGTGCTATTTAACAAATCCTGCACTATGGGTACCACTTACTCTTATTAAACAGTTCGGTCTCTTTCAGATTCTCTGTGAGATTATAGAATAAATTCTTCCAGGACAAAATAAGCAGCTATTTTTAATTCAGATGATAAAGATTTCAACAGGCTGCACTCAACTGTAAGAGCCAGAAGACCCCATTGTAACTTAGTACATTTTACATAAAGATGTATATAGTATAGCCAAAATCAAGAGCTCATGAAAAAGTTTTTACAGTGCATGTTTCACCTAGAAGGAAACTATTCCAGAAGTCTGGAAAGGCCAATGAAATTTTGTCTAAAATTAACCTTTTCTCATTTCCAAAACAAACAAATATTGAAACAAAAGAAGAAAACTCTATCCCTATCATGGGCTTGGCACCTTTCTCTAAATGAGCAAATTTTTTTCAAGTTCTAAAATTATTTGAGAGTAATTATTTGTGCAATCCAGTGAGGGTATATGGTCCAAGCACACTCAGAACTCAGAATCTGATATCTTTTATCCTTAGTCGGAATGTGGATCAGGGACCACGAGGGACTCGATCTACCCCTGCGCATTACAACACCCTGAACCGAATGGATAGACACCGAGTTATAGATGACCACTACTCCCCCGACAGAGAGAGGTAAATATCTGCGTGAAATTAGGAACAGCTGTAGCCTACACTTATCAATGTGAGTTACTTCATCATGGTCACTTGATAAAGGAAATAGAAAATTACTTACATAATCCCAGAGATTAGCATTTCCCTATCCATTTGTCCGCTGGTTACATGACATACATTAAAGGATATAAAGTGCACATAAGGCTGACAACACTGTCAAGTGAGTTCATCTTTGCCAGGAGGGAATTTGAAAAAAATCTATGAGAAAATGTGCAATCTAAAAGACAAATAGTTAATTCTCCTTTTTTATAAAAATTTTTGTAAAAATGCTTTGTGCTGAATATCTTTTTAAGAAATCTAACAGTAGGCTTGATGATTTTTGCTGCTGAATAAAGAGGTATAAAACCAGATAATTTTAGCTCAGTATTAATGTAATGCTTCTATTGGATAGAGTGCAGTTCACAAGTGTAACAAAAGTATATTCTAGTACTGTGTTCTGTGTTTGCCTTTGCTCAAATTCCTGAGCTACTTTATTAAAAAAAAAAAAAAAAGGTTAGGGCAACATGTATGAATTCAGGGGCTTTGTGTTTAGAGGCATCTCTGACTGTGACTAACATTGATAATATTTTGCCTAATGGAACTTCCCCAGAAGTGAGCAGAGCTCTATGAATTTGAATGCTGTTAAAAAAAAAAATATTGCAGCAATAATTGAATAATGTAGGTAATTTTGTTGAATTAATTGTGGTAATTACTTTGTGACATTAAAAAAAGTATTGGTCCTTTCCACTTCATTGTCTTCAGGTCAGAAAATCAAAACAGAAAGCATTTATTACCTTTAATTTTTAAAATCTTCCAGCTTCTTATGCACCAAGCTGAAAACCTGCACTTTATAATGAGAGACATGATTGCTAGATATTGTCTCATTTCACAGTTGCATATAGCAAGGAGTAATATACATATATTTTGTAATCCTGACTAATATTTGGAGTTAATACTTTTACAGATTCACATTAGAGGTTATTCCTCAAGTGAAATCAAAGCACATAATTGGGGTACCTAACTGTAATACAAAGAATTTCAGTGTCTTTTAGTGAGCCATATTGAACAGAAAAAGTTAATATTTCTTAAAAGTACAGTGATGTGGTGGTCAATGATTATATGGAATGCAAGACGATATTCTTCAGAAAATCATAATATTTTTCTTATTTCATAAGAAAAAAATAATAATTAATTATTTCTATTTTGATAACTTAAAAAAAAGAGTACCAAAAGGAAAAAAAAAATATTTTCCAGGGATTTTAATTTAATTTTTCAAAACAAAAGGTCAAATGAGCAAAAAATAAATATATTGAAAAAACAATCAAATATTATCATCCCAGATACTGATTGTATTCCTTACAAGTATGATAGATCATAAATGAACCTCTTTTTTATGATAAATTATTTAATATTTCTATTTAACTTATGGTAAATACAACCTATTTAATTGACTCATGAGACTATCTGATTTTCATACAGAAAGCTTGAAGATTCTGAGCTGTTTCCTTAAAAGAAAATTTCAGAATGCATTATATTGATTTTTAGAGCAGTCATCCTTGAAATAGGATCTAAACTTGTCCTCAGAGCCTGCATATGTCTTATGGAATGCTGCTGGGTTTATTCACTGTGCAAGTTCACTTGCTGCCTCACAGATGGATGCATAGCGGTGAAAGTTTGCTTGAAGTACAGTACCACAATCTTTCCCCATCATTTCAATCAAATAATCCCTATTGGATTGACTTGATTTAGAGAAAAAGATTTGGCTTTTCTAGAATTTGTTAGAAATTGTTGCTGGTGATGAGATTATTCAGATTTCACATGACCATTCTGGATTACTACGTACTGGCTTGTTAGGTGTGCTCTGAATCTCTGAACACATGTTCAGAGATTGTTGTCTGTTGTCTGTGTTTTCCAAAACACACAGAGAAGTTCTCCTACTTCGTACATGGTGAGTTGTTGCCTGTGTAATCAAATTGCTGACTAGTTATGACTCTATTGCAACATAATAAAAAAAATAATAATAAAAATACAGTCTCTGAAACACATTAGTTTTAGGCAACACTGAAGAGAACAGGAAAAGACTGTCCCCAGACATTGTCATGTTGGAGAGTGGTTTTATGAATGGAAAGATTATTAGACATAAAATTTTGTTAGAGAATACTTGTGATACTGTGTTACATAATAAAAACCCAGTGGTGTCTCTAAAGTAGCTCTTTAATGGTGCTGATCCTGAAAACTCCTGGGACTGCAGGCAGTTTGGAGAATTGGAAAAACTAAACTTTTGTTTAGGTTTATAATCTCTCTACATGTCCTCCCCACTTGGCTCTGAAAAGAAATCACATTTTGCTTTCCCACAGCTCTGATGGTTTTCTTGTTTCCATGGTCCACTTATCCCTTGAAGCTGTTTGCAAAAAAGGGATTTTGAAAAAGTACCTTCTTACAGACAGAGTCAGTTGCTTATTTAAAGTATGACTGAGAATATGAGTAAGAAAATTCTTTTCTAGATAATTCAACATAGAGTTCTCTAAGGTATATGGCACTAAGGAGTTAGTTGAAACCACATACAAAATGTTTAATGACCTCAAGAATAGTAACAATGTAAGCATTCCTTTATGAAGAATATAAAATAAAAATAAAGTAAAAATTAATTATAATAAAAATAAAAAAATTAAAAAATATTTTAAAAAACCTCTGAAAGATACAATGTAAAAAAATTTTTTGGAGGTAATTTCAATTTCAGACACAGACCTTTAAATATGTCAAATGTGGCTATTAAATGGTACACTTATTTTTGTTGGCAAGGTAATGTTACAATTGAAATTTGTATCTGTTGCTATATCATCAAAAATATGAGAATTGTACTGTGTATACTGCTAACTCAAAGTGAGAAATCATGTGAACTTGTTCCCTGGATATTTAGTATAGATCTACTAGTTAATTTTTTTCAAAATGTGAGGTTTTTTGCAGGTACTCACACTATTATGAAATAGCCTAAATTTTTAATGTAAGGAAATATGAATGCTTATGACCTAATACAGACTCAAGTTCCATAAGATCTTTTATCTGTAATGGGATAACCTTGCAAACTTCAGTTAGACATTTTAATAAATTCTCAAAAACTGACTTTATGTCACTTGAGAAACTGAAACTAATCAAACTATACAGAAAATTTTGGAAGCAGGCAGATTTAACCTCAGTTTAATATTTAAACTATCAGTATTAGGTTAGTTAGAGAAAAAATGTGAGAATCTTAGCATAGGTCTGTGTATTTCTTTCTGAAAGTTCTATCAGCAATTAACAACAAACCTCAATACTGTAAAGAAATTGTACTCAGGCCCACAGCACTAACAAGCTTAGATACTATTTAACAACTATTAATTTAACTATAATCTTTATCCTAAATAGGCTCTCCTAGAGTCATGGAATTGCTTATGGTGAATTTAGCATGTATATAGTAAGCATTCAGAGAATGCCTAAAGGATAGAGGTTTTTCTACTAGGCACTTAGGAGAAAACGAGAGAAAAGGCAAGTTAAATTGAGTCCACTATCTCTTCAGCAAAGCTGTTGCACACTTTCCATTTTAAAGCACAAAAGTTATTATCTGTCATTTTAAAGTAATGGGGTAATCATAGGCATGATTATTTAAAGAAATATTCTCCATTACCTTTAAATCCTTTCAAAGATGTTATCTGGGTGTGCTGGGACTGACAAGATTTTCTCACCGCTATTACTGAGAGGAGATTTCATTCCCAAATTTGAACACTGTTTGTTTCATGCTGTTGAAAGAGGGTCCTTTTTTTTAACATAAAGTATATGTCAAAATATATGCTAAAAAACCTGTTTACTATATTTAAACCAGTGAGTCTGCTACATGTTAGCTAAAACACTATTTAATTACCTGCATCTATAATTCAACACAAAATTGAATGTGGGCAAGAGCAATATAAATTCTACCTTTCTAAATGTCATCTTACACTGTGCAGTAACAGGCTCCTCATCCACTGTTGTTATTAGGTAGGTGCCAGATTAGGTCAAACTAGGAAAAGAGTTTTTGAGACATTGCACCATAAAAAAACTGAAAAGATCAGATTATTTTTTTCACAGTCTTTATTAAATTCAGCACAGCTGAATAATATGTAATTAAGTAGTCATTTATTTATTATTTACCTAATATTTTAGTGTAAATTCATTTAAGTGTACACTACAGGTACAAAGATATTCCAAAGTTTAAAGAGTACCTGATGTTTATTGTAGAAGTTCTGGGATAATATTTTCAGGTTTTGGTTCCATGTATCATGTGGGTACATACCCACATGTGGCTATGCAATGTCATTGCTTTGCTTCTTCAAATACTCAGTAAAGTATAAGAAATACATGACTGAAAATTTACTTATAGTTATGTTATAAAACGTTTGCATCAACTTGAATCTCAATAATTGAAATGTTTCTTTAAGTTTTTCTCCTTTCCAATCACTGTTAAGCTGCACAATTAGCTGCACCACCCACCACTCTGGTGCTTCCTCGAGTGCTGAAGAATGGTTATCTCCTACAGAGGAATGTGGAGTAGGAAGGTGGCAAGAGAAGTGCAGTCTTTCAAATGTAGCTACATCTGTAAGGACTCATGATTCAGAACCTTTGTGTTAAATTAAACAAAAACAAAAACAAAAATTAATTTCAACAGTTTTATACTTGTAATTCATATAGCTATTTCAGTTGAAAAAGTATAAAAGAGCGTTTCTAAAAATAGAGGATAATACTGTTGCCAATGATACGATATATTACTTTAATTACTTTAATTACAATCAGATAATACACAGGAGAAAGCTGACTATTGGAATAAACAGTAACAGGATGAGAGAAACTTCTTGTGTCAACTGAGTTTCATTCATGCAGGCTCTAACAGTGGTACAGAAAGTTGTTTTTTTTCATGCAGAATTATTTATGGATATTCCAATAAGCACAAGATTGTCAGGAAGTAATAGTGCTCCAGTACTTCATCCTCTCCACAGAAACACTTGGGAGGCAAGTAGTTTCTCACTCTAGTAGGGAAGCTGGAATGTCAATCAAATGGTCACAGAGAATGAAAATTGAAAGGGATAGATTACCTTCTAAATGCCTCATCTTTACTATTGAATAAAATATCCAAAGCAGTAGAGAACAGGTCATACTTCCCTTTTATAGTAAGAACAGAAAGGTATTTATTCCATGAGGCTCAAGTGAGGCACCCTGTGTGTGTGTGTGTGTGTGTGTGTGTGTGTGTTTTCAAGTGTGCTCCTCAAGACTGTTCTGATATGTCAAGTCTGTTTCTGAATACTAAGTAATTCCAATTAGGCAATCTAATCTGTTAGTGTATCTGTGATTTCTGTTTTCTTACCCTCACGGTTCATTGAATTTTAATGAATCTGTAAGGAAATGGACAAATAGGTGAGCAGTGTCAGAAAAATTTAATTAATTTTCTGTTCACTTTAAAAAATGGAAAGTTACTCTGTTTGTCTATATGTCTGGAATCTTGTCAGAACAGTGGAAATCTGTTTTCGCCTCACACAGGGGTGTGGCAGGGGATTGGGGTGGTATGTACAGTAATGATCCCATTGCAAACCTATAGTGATGCCTTTTTAGACTAAGTTCATTATTTTAATATAAATGAACTGAGTTGTTGCTGCACATTTTCTGTCCATGCTATCTGTCACAAAAGGTGATGTTTCACAAACCTGTGAGGATGCAGGCTGGTATGTTTGTTTTGCCATACTGTCATTTGGCATACTTCTGCCATTGATTACTGTCATGTAGCAAGTCAGGAATGTGTGGTAAGAGGATAGAAATCTAAATCAAAGCTGCAAAAAAAAAAGTGTCTTGGAGTTCTTATATTAAAAATCTGATATATCTAAACTTTGTCTCTATGGTCTTCTGAATATTCCCATCTAGATGAGCATATGAGATCATGATTTTTATTAACAACTTAAAAGACATGTTTATTTTAGATGCAGCTCTGGAACATTACTGAAGTTCTATTGCATGTAGGTGTTGTGAAGCTTAATGCTTTTACCACATTATGATACATTTACTTTATGATTTTAAGTATTTTACACTGGGTATTAGCCAAATGAAAGTGGTGTATAATGCAGTTTAGGACACTGAAAATTAGGTAAGTCATAGGCATTTTTGATGTCGTTAACATATCTATAAAAGAAAAAGGAATTTATTTTAACTTAAATACATAAAGTATTAATAATAAAGAAACAACTAGTTTAATACTGGCTAGATGCTCAGAAGAAAGATGGTATTTAAGCATATTACTCTGCATTTTGAAATACATAAAGCTCAGGAAAATACGCTACCTCATACTGTGCATAGTAACATGTTTTGAGCTATGTCATGTCAGTCAGTCTGTCTTTCACACAGGGAAATATGCATATTTTATGGAAAATATTACTGTACTTCAGTAGAAACAGTTTTCAGACAGAGATACATGCTTACATGAATAATATCTCTATACTTAAATAATATGCAATAAATAAAATGTTTTATTGCTAGAGATTATATGGAAATGCACAAACATTTTTAAACTATATATTCTTGATTTATGATGAATGTCTTGTACTCTAGTAAGTCACTATTTTAATTCATGTATAGAACTGTTTGTTTCTTCTTAATCGAGTCAGATAGACATAATCTTTTTATCTACACTTGTAAGAATATTTTATAGTGAGTTATTATCTATTATCTACAAATACCTGATAGAAGGCTGAGGTGAGGTGGGGCTTGGCAGTGCCAGGCAACCAGTAGGAGGACAAGGGGAAATCATCTCAAGTTGTGCTGAGGAGGTTTGGGTTGGATATTAGGAAAGAGTTCTTCACTGAAAGAGTGACTGGCATTGCAACAGGCTCCCCAGAGAAGTGGTGGAGTCACCATCCCTGGAAGTGTCTAGAATATGAGTACACATAGCACTTTGCAGTATAGTTTAGTGGGCATGGTGCTGTTTGGTCAAAGGTTAGGCTTGATCTTGCTTGTCTTTTCCAACTTTAATGATTCTATTATTTTATTAAAACTTAGATAGCATGGTTAACATGGGCTCTGAAAATAGGGAAAAGTGTGAATAGCTGGTAATGCCAGATGATAAGGTCAAGTATAAGCTAAAGCTTACCTCACTTCTCTGTATACACAAGCAGAGTTCTGAGGAGAAAGCATATTTTAAGCTAGTTAAAAGTTATTACATATTAAACTGTATAAGTGGTTGTCTCCAAATGCTGGCATACTCTGATTCTGTAAACCTGATTGAATTAAAAAAAAAAACCAAAAAACAAAAGGAAAAGTTGAACTGCCTGCCTCACAAACAGAAGTCTCAGTACTTGAAAAGAACACTGGAGTTCTGAGTTTCTAAAAGTATTAGAATGAAACTTGATAACGGATTTTGAGCAATTAACATAGTTTGGTGGCAATATGAAAAGTAGTTAGGACTGAAATCGTAAGCAACGTTAACTGATGGTGTTTCACTCACATACATGAAGAGAACAGTCTGGGGTTTTCCTTCTTACAGACAGTAAATAATTTACTTGCAAATAGCAATTGCATTCCCATGAAATTCATGTTCTGCAACACATGTTCTGCTTGAAGTCCTAGTTTTGTTTAAAGATTTACTTTTTCAAAAGTGGTTGAATATATTGTATTTATTGATGTCTTACATTTTTCAAAGACTACCAAGTAAATTTATAACTGGAATCATAAAAGTGAAAGTGAATTGTTAAAATTAAAATGTCATCTATCATCTGGAAACACTTAATTGCTTATTAATACTAATTTAATATTTACTAGCTGTTAATTCCAGGGTTGCATCTGAATCACTTAAAGGCATATTCATATGGATGTAGCCTGGGAATGTCACCATGTAGTGGAAAGAATAAGCTGGTATTTAGTTGTTCTCCATCATCTTACATATCACAGCTGCTGTGGGATAGACTCCTACATTTTTACTTGATTGTTCTTCTTGTGGGTGTGCATATATTCTTAAGAAAATTTTGAGAACATGGTGGAATTTTTTTTCCATGTTTCTTGGCAACTTGCTGGCTGCCAGGCTGTTATGGGTAGACTGCTTTTGGTACTTAGGTCTGTGCATTAGGTTAAAAACACTAATAGCTTTTTGCAGCCTGCAGTCTAAGCTCTATGATTATTTTCTTAATTGTTAGTCCTTCTTCAAATTTTCAGTGTACCATGTCAAATTTGGCCCTGCTGAATTGTGTATGGCTCTTCATTCTTGTAATAAACTGCAAAGTTTAAATTGCATAATCAGGGATTTAAGGTAGAAGTCTTTTATAGTGGTGACTCTGTTTTTGCATTTATTTGACAAGAAGTGAACACAAAGATCTCTTGTACTATATATAATTCACCTAATATCCTTATAAGTAAAATTTACATGTGACTGATGGTATATTTTATCCTTATGCAAAAGAGGCAAATATAATAAATGTGGGTAATATAGCCACCTGTAACAATGTGATTACTAGAAAATCATTAATTATATGCGAATTAAGGTATGAGAAATAAAAATGGAGGATAAACATGAGGTTTTCCATGTTTCTTGTGAAATCAGTTTACACTCCCAATGTGGACTGTCGTGATTAGACATTACTTTGAAATATCCCAACTTCAGTGGAGCTGTAGATCAGCAACTTTGCATTCCAATAATTCCTTGTTACTGGTAAACCCTGCTGTTTTCCAACCCCTTTTCCCCTGTATCATGTGCATATATTGAAAGAGAAATAACAATCTTCTATTTTTGGTGATTAGAAAATATTGAGTGCTCTAACAAATATATTTAAAATATTTAAATTTAGTCATATTTTCAAAATACACCAACAAAATATAAATACCTTTATTATTTTGAAATGCATGTATTTTGAGTTTTTTTGAATATTCTGTTACTGATGTTATATCTCTTCATTAGTTATTTAAATAATGAAAAACTTTAATCTAAATTTGCTTTTTATCACAGTTGATCAGTATTAGGAGAACTTACTCTTAGAAATGGGAAAGCTCTGGAGCTAGCTATATGGAGACAGATTTCCCAAGGGTGATAGCATTTCAGACAGACCAGATAAATGTCTTCCAAAGATATTATTCATACTAAAGTTATAACTGCCTTCAAAGACAGGAACAGGCAATCTGACTTCTTGAGTTGCTTTTAGAGGCAGATTTTTGCATCTTTTCTTCCTAACTGAAATACTGTAGAAAATCCCAAATTTTAGCTATTTGCTTGATCATAGTCTCCCAGTGGCTTCTCAGAATAAATGTGTGAATCATCTAGATAATTTTACCTTTAGAACTGTATATCATACTATTTTCTTAACAAGTTCAGTGCTTTTAAACAATACTTTTGTAGCTCCTGTATTCTCAGATTTTAATGTTTTCAGTTTTGTGATGTGTATCATTCCTTCTCCATCTCATTGTCTCGTATCTGTGTTTTTCTTTCTACCATCAACTCAGTCATTATGTTACTTTACCTCGTTCCCGGTACACCCAGTCCACAGATCACCATTACAGAGATGTCAGGTATATGTTTTCCTCTGTGTGACTATGTGTGGATAATGCATGTACTTCTATGTACCTACATGTCCACTTCTGTTTTTATTAGTCTGTGTATAATGGTAGAAAACTTAGAAGTGTAGAGTTAGTGTCAGCATTAGCTTTCTGAGCACAGTGTCTACACAAAAAATGGGTCATTCTTCATACAGTTTCACTTGAATATTTTTAATAGTCTATAATTGGGAGTCCATGAAGACAATGCTTTATTTACATGACTCTTATGACTTCTACAAAGTAAATAGAGGAATTTACTGAAATCAGCAAACACTAATGCCTGCTAATTCTGTGATTTTAATATACAGAATTTCATACGTGTATGTCTCTGTTAAATGTCATAATAAAACTGGAGTGTGATACCTTTCTCATAGTCTTGTAACTCTTAATAGCTATGAGCCAATACACTTTAATTTTTAAAAGTAGTTTTGCAAAATTCACCAATGTTTCAGCTGTGTTTTTTTCGAGTGTTTTGTTCTGTTGCTGACATTACTTGCTTTTCATGTTGTTTTGTTCTCATTTCATCTTTTGGTTGCTTTTCATTGTGTTCACCCATTATGTTTTGGCAGCCAGGATCACACAATGTATCCTCTATTTTGTGAAGATGCAATCAGATTACTCCGCTCCCGTAAGATGTGCCGTACCTACTCTGAGGGTGCTTACTATGATCTTGAGAGGTACAATTGATGTGGAGTACATTGTTAGCTCTGCCACACTGACAGTACCATATTTGATTTCCAAACTGAGAAGGTGATCTGTTTTAAGTGAGAAGCACATACTGTGAAGATGTTTTGTAATACTCTGAGTATGTATCATATAAAACTGTGTACTCAGGGCTGTGGGTAAATCCCAAGAGATGCTGAATAGCTTTATAGAAGGCAGTTTCATAAATTAGGTTATATGGTTATTATATGCCTGTGTCTTTTAAAACTCTTATTTTTACTGGAATTTTCCAGAGTGCTTATAGCATTTATTATTCTCTTTGAAATAATAAGGAAAAGCTTCTCTACTTTAAAGTACATGGAAATAGTGTCTTCTTGAAATCTCATACTTTGCTTAGCTGAAAAACAGAGTGAAAAATAAAAGTTTATGCTTATGTAAGCTTATGTTGTATGCATTTGTATACTGCATATTCTCTAATATAGGAGTACTTGTATACATTCACAATACCTGTGTGTGATTGCAAAACATCATAGTTCCTATTTATACATGAAATATATGACAGAGAGAAGTTGAGCCCATAACAATTTGTTTGAAATAATTATCCACTTGAAATTCAGTGGTTTTTAAAAGGTACTGATGTAATCCTCTGACTAAGATATTTTCAGAAATATTGCAAACCAGGAAAAGGCCTACATAGTTGTCAGTGAATAGACATAAGGATACCAATCTGACAAATTATGAGCCAATAAAAAGGAAGTGGTGGCTTCAGATCAGATATAAAGGTTGATATGAGTATTGCTTTAAAAGCAGGACCATGTAAAAACTTCCAAAGCAAGAAGTAAAGAACTCTTTCTATATTAGCTTCATGGCTGCCCTCTGGGTATGAGTTCCTCTGAGAAGTTCATTAAGTTTTGCTCTGGATTCAGATCATATATAACCATATTTTTAGTAAATGTAAAATTACTTTTGGATTCAGAAACAAAAAAAGGATCTGAAAATTCCTTCCAAAGAAATACTGCTTTTTGAAAATTCTCCAGAGGGTGTAGTATATTAGACATTCAAAATGTTTAGAACTCAGGTAAACATTTGTTTTGAAATTATGCTGTTTTACATGAAAACTAATATATAGAAAGTGTGTAAATAGTTCAGTCAACATGTAGAAACTTTGATAAGGGGAGGGATTTTTGGTTTGTTTCCTGAAAATATATGATGAAATGTGCTCATATTTATACTATTTCAGTAAGTAATTACTTTTATATACAATTTTTTGCCTTAGATATATGAGTATATTTGCACTAGTTTATCTGGACGTATTTCAGATTGTTACTTAGGTCTGTGTCTGTTCAGGCATTAGTGAAACTTGGAGCTATTCTCAAATTGTCTTATTTTGAGGATCTTGATGTGTAAATTTTAATCTTTTTTTTCTACAGAAATTAATCTCTCAAACATACAGTAAAATCAATGAAAATAAAGGGCAAAAGTTACAGTACTGCATAAATATGAAAAAGCTGAGATTTAAGCAGAGAGATGGAGTAAATCTTTTCCAGGGCTTTATTGAACAGAAGGTTATTAAAGATAATTCCTCCTGAGATCAGAAAGGAAAATCTGACATGAAGTGGAATATTTCTAGCTCTCTGTTTAAACAGTATCTTGAGATTCCTTGTGCCTAGGAACTGATCCTGGATTCCATGATCCTGTTGAATCCAGGTTGTCTGGGGTAACATAAGTGTTCAAGTTACTTGAGTCATCTTACCAGATACGAACTCCACTGAGCACTTCACAGTCACAGTCACATTCCTAGTTTTTCATCCTTTTTGTCTTTCCATATTCTGACAGCGATTTAAGGACTATTATAGCATACACTTTATCCAGTTTCCCCTTACACATTAAAAAACCACTAGTTTCCTCTTCATTATTTTTATTGGAAATATATGAAAATTTACCTTTTGTACAGTATTTCCTCATTTATCTTTACATTTTGCCCCAGTTCAATGCTTACTCTAAAATACCTTATTTTGTAGGTCATGGGCATCACTCCTGTCTTCTTAGTTCCATCTACTTAGTCAATGTCTTGTTGATATCAAGCAACAACCTCCTTCCTGTCTTTATTAAGCATATGAAATAACTTTCCAGTTTCCACTATTCATTAACATAGTGAACATTGTTCTGTACAGTCCAGCATTCAGGGAAGAGTCACTCATCTAGGACAGAGTTTTTAATCTTATGTCACTGTGAATCCACCAGTGTGGGTGTCCTGCAGGCACATATATATAGATACATTAGTTAAAATTACTTGCCTTCTTTGTTATTCATGGCTCTTTTCATTACCTATCTTGTATTCATTCACAGCCAACCCATTAAGTCTTGTGATTTCTTCTAGAAATTTTTTCTTCTTTTTTTTTAACCTCCACAGAGCAACTACTTGATTCTCTTTCATCTCTTCTCTGCTGAAGTGTGTTTCAGTTACTGTTTATCAGATATGATAGTCCTTAGATCATTAGTTCTAGGCCACATTTAAATTATCAAAAACCTTAATTTCTGAGGCCATTCGTTGGCTGTGAAATTCATCATTTTGTCTTTCTAGTATTTCCCTCCTTTTGAAGAAGTCCACCTCTTTCCCTCCCAAAAGTAATGGAAGCAGCATTGACAAGATACTTATTTCAGCATGTCCCTAAGAAAGACAACAGCCACACAAGCGTCTTCAGTGACTTCAGTGTCCTTTCGATTCGAGGTTTTCTCAAGAACATCCTGCTGCTCAGTAGAATCATAGAATGGGTTGGAAAGGATCTCTGAGATCATCAAGTGCAGCCCTTATCCACTACCACAAGTTGCAGGACTATGGCACTAAGTGCCACATCCAGTCTCTTCTTAAACACCTTGAGGGATGGAGAATCCACCACCTCTCTGAGCAGCCCATTCCAATGCCTGATTACCATCTCTGTGAAGAATTTCTTCCTAATATCCAACCTAAACTTCCCCTGGCAGAGCTTGAGACCATGCCCTCTTCTCTTACTGACAGCTGCCTGCGAAAAGAGACCGACCCCCACCTGGCTAGAACCTCCTCTCAGGTAGTTGAAGAGAGTGATGAGGTCTCCCCTGAGCCTCCTCTTCTCCAGACTAAACAACCCCAGCTCCCCCAGCCTCTCCTCACAGGACTTGTGCTCAAGTCCCTTCACCAGCCTGGTTGCTCTTCTCTGGACCCGCTCCAGCACCTCAATGTCTTTCCTGAACTGAGGGGCCCAGAGCTGGACACAATACTCAAGGTGTGGCCTCACCAGTACTCTGTTCCAAATTTCCTTGACTCTTTAATGTGATATCAGCACAGCAGCACTACCTGTATCAGTTCACATTGCTGCAGATACTCAGATAGAACATACACAAGACATCATGGCTGGACGTGTTGAGCTTTATTTATGCTTTTATTTATATCCCCCAAGTCAGAACCCTTATACAGACAGAATTTCTGTTCTTTTACTTAAGAAAAAAAGATTTTTCTTCATTTTTTTTTTACCTGCCTTCCATTTTACCAGTCAGAAACTTCCCAACATCCACATCCTATTTTTGGTGAATTTTCTTAGTTGCTCAAGTACTGAGCAAGTGTCAATGTAACTTTTTACTCCTATAAAATATGTGTGCATTGATCAGCTGTTCTTAATATATTGTTAATAATTTCTGAATATAAATTGAAGTATGAAATTAACACACATATATATGAAAATGGATGTTCAGAATATCCTGCTGAACTGTAGATAAATGTGCTCTATTTTCATTATATCTTAATAATACAGTAAGGGAAAACATAATGAAAGAAGCACCCTTTAAAATGTCTGAAATATCTGTGCTGTTTATTCCATATTCAGGAGGACTAGACAGGAGAGAAGAGTGCCTATTTCATATTATGATGACACAGCCTATACTCCTGAAAGGTATTTTAATTTATATAGTAAAAATAGATAAAGCTGAGTAATACATTTTTTATGAAGTGTAGCCCAAAATTTCTAGTTGGCCAAGAGTAATGATATTTAAATTTACAGTGCACTTTATGCCATATTTCTCTAAATACAGAAAAACTAATTTCCATAGTTTTAGGTACCTTGTTTTCTTTTAGGCCTTTATTAATATGACTTTAGATTTTTAAAAGCATAATTCTTAACTTGAAAAATTTTTTGTTCATTAGAAGTGGAAGGAAAACTGAATAGTACAGAGGAGCTTAGGTACAACTGAAGGTTTTTCCTCCACTTAACTGCACCATAACTCTAATGGCTGACCTTTCCAGTCACTAGGAGTGATTATAGGACAATTTAGAATCCTTAATTTCATTCTTTCAATAACCTGAGTCACTTAAGAAGGTGCTCAGCTTTTAGCATGTTACTGCTCATATTGACTTAAAAAAGGACTAACCAAATGCCTTCAAACTGATTTTGGGTGTTTGCTGTGCTAGGACCCAAAGTACTATCGTTCTCCCTAAATTTTGATATACATAACACAACTAAAATCTGACGTGTAATCTGTAAAGTTTTGAAGCATCTCTGGAAATAGTTATTTGATCATGCCTTCCATGTTTGAAGAGCTAGGCAAAGTCCAAAAAGAAGAAAATCTGGAAAAAGGAGCAAATCAGTATTCCTCTCCCTTGTAGAGTTGTATGTTTTATATTCTCTGTCCATTTTTAAGTCAATGTGTGATTTTTGTCTACAGTATGGAAGTAGGTAAAGCAGAGATTATTTCCTAATAGCAAGAAATTTTGTTTTTATCTGATTATTATGAATAAATATAGTAATATTTAAGAAAAAATAAAGTGCACTGCCATTTTAAAATCATATTTCATGTGGTTTTGGTGTCTGCAATAAAGTACTTCTACCAAAAAGTCTTACTTTAAATACTGGCTAATTGCAGAGACTGGCTTTCCTTTTGAGGATACGGATGATCAGGGAGAGTGTAAAGATATATCGATCATTCTCCAGCTGTGCTCTAATTTAGATTGAACTAAATCTAAATCAAACCTAAAACTAAATTCGGTTAAACTAAAGTGAATTTTGTCCAGTCATTGATCTGGCTACAAACCATACCAAAAAAATTTTAAATAAAAAGCCATTCCCCCTTCCCCTTACCAACCAATCTGACGTAGAAGAACCCAGGGCAGCTGATTGACACTCACATATATTACACCCTGTACATTCTTCCCTCAGCATAAAGATCAGGAGATGTGGCATTATTAAGTTTGTAAACATATTGTAAAACCTCAGATTCTGAATATGAGAAGTTTGTTAGAAAATGGAGTCATACAAAAAATACTTCTGTGATTCCCAGAAACAGATCCATGAAAACTTTTGGATCAGTGTATTAAAGCTGTAAAAAGTTCATCCTGCAGCCTTTGGCTAGGATTTTCAGTACAGCTAAAGGAATATTTTTATCCAAATTTATAATATAGTCTTCCCTTGGTATTTTCTGATAGTCCCTGCCTTGCTTTTCACTCACTGTTGTGAAAATCACTGAATAGTGAATGCATAGGAGCTCCAAGGCTTTACCCTAACAAGATCCTGAAAATACAGAATTCCAGCAATCCAGTTAAAACTCCTTAAGCAAATGCTGGATGATTTGTATCTATTTTTAATATTCTGGAGTAGTTGAATGTAAACAGTTTATCACCTGATTTCTTAAACCAGCTTTTTTTTTTTTTTGTTCCCATTGTTTTCTTTCTCAATGGGTCTATTTAAGATAAAATACTTCTACATGTATTTTATGTTGTCTTCAACTAATTTGCTGGAATGATGCTGCAAGTGTTTCAGTAGCCCATGTTCAGTAGCTGGAAGAAAAATACAGGTATAAAATTTAATTAGTTTTCACTGTTTGATCTGATTAAAGTGAGTTTTCATCTGCTTCTTAAATAACTATAAAGAAAAAAACTAGCCTATAAAAAAAATTGAAAATTTAATATATTTGAAGTTAAAAAGCAATATTTTAAACTATTCATGCATGTAATGTTATTTTTGCAAGTGTTATATCTCCATAATTACTTTTAATTATTCCACAAACTGAATAACCATTGAAAAGATGAAAACTTTTATGTAGGAAAAGATGAGGGATTAATTTGCATTTAAGGAATTGAAATTCATGGCTAAACTACTGAGAAAACTAGAGGCCAAATATAATAGTTATATCAGGAAAAAACCCCCCATAATTTTCATGGTGTTTAGCTTTGAAAAAGATGATTTTTTTCATACCTGAGAGAAAATATGAAATGTACAAAATTACTTGGAAATACTTGGAAATTTTCTTATTTTGTTGAGAAGTGGTCATGTCATATAAATTAGAGTGCTATTAATTATACATTTGTTTCTTTATAACATTTCTTTATTTTAACTGCATTGTAAAGGTGGTACAATGGTGCAAGTTCATGGGCAGATCATGTAGTCAATGGTTCAGCTGAAAAATATGGGTAAGTAAAGAGTGTAGTGTTATAGATAAAGCTAAAATGTATTTTAAATCTTTATAATAAGAGTTCATTTGTAATTGTACCAAAGTTATTCCTAATAAATGTATTTTTCTTGATGTCTTTCTTGACTCAGAACTAAGGCACTTATGTTCTAGTCTTTTTTTTCCAAGATTAAACTATTTTATTCAGTTGCAAATAGAAAAAGAACATTGTGTTTGAACTATTTTTGAAACTTGTTCTCACTGTTCTGGGCTGCTTTAATGAAAAAGGGGTTTTTAATGATAATACCTGCCTACATTCACAGTGTTGGGGAATATGTCTTTGAGACCTAATACGTTTTACTTTTAGAAATAATCCCAGTTCAAGCTGTCTAACCTATCTTCCTGTGTGATTGATGCATAACCCATGCAAAGTACTGTGTGCCTTATAATCTTTAGTTCTTCCTAGTTGTAGATGCCTTCTGATGAAGAGAGCACACAAATTTTCCTTGCTATTAGTTCTTTTACTTTACTGCTTCCCCCTAGTTTTCTTCTTACTCTTGCAAGAATTTTTTATATTTTTACCTACTTCCTTTGTGAATGTGAACAGGGGAGAACATAATGACTGACATCTTGAAAATGAAAAAAATCTGATAAAACCCAGAATTAACTCTTCAGGATTTTAATGCCAGTTTCTCTGTTCTCTAGAAAGGAGAGGTTTTTGAGGATCTTTTGGCTCAACATTAGTGCAGCTGCAGAGACTTACTTGAGACAATATTTCTTCCCCAGCTTTTTCAACTGAAGTGCCACTGTTTGCTGGCTCTTCAGTTTTAAGTGTACAGCAAGGGCCATGCTTGTTAGTTCTCCCTGGAAAGTGCACAAGTATACTGAAAATGAACAGTATTTGAAGCAGTCTGAAAAAACTGTTTCCTGTAAATAAAGCTTTTGGATTTGCTTTTGATAGTCACATGAGATAGTCCTAGTTTACTTCTCTTGTCTTACAGTTAGTGCTGAGTAGGTGCTAACGTAGCATCTATCAGGTTACTATTTAACATGGTAAATATCTAAAGATAGATTTGTAATTTTACTACTCTATCTCCCCATTTAAATTTAGCTCCAAAAAGATTTGAAAAAAGAAATAAAAGATAAAATCATTTGTTGTGAATCAATATGACTTTTAGGTAAACCATAAGGTGTGAAACATACTTTATTAGAATAAAGACTACTGAAATGCATCAGATTCTAAGATCAGGGGATTTAGAGAATGCCTTTCACAGAAACTAAATGCTATTTTATTCATTTGTAATTTGAGAACTTAAAAGATGATTAAGTCTTATGTCTCTGCTTCTCTTGGAATGATTTGATTGAAATCCTGGGCTCATCAAGTAACAAAAATCTTTTTGACTTCAGAGAGGTCAGCGTTACAGAGCTGTTGCCAAAGGTTAAGAAGAGGGATGAACACACAGCTGTAGTATTTATATACAGTAAACTGCATCATTATAGCCCTGGTTGTGATTAAATGTCTGCATTATTATTGGTGTTTAAAAATGTCACTGGAGAAAAAAAGGCCAACTGTGTATGTGTGCCATCTAGAAATAAAGTTGTATTTAAGATCTGTGGAAAAAAATCCCACAAAAACCCATCAAGAACCAAGAACTTTTCAGATTTTTCATTTAGTACTGCATTGTACAAAAGAATATTGAAGTTCATGCTTAGTTTTAAGCCTACAACTATTTCACCTTATTAGTCTATAATCTAAGTACTCTGCTGAACTGTATTTGAAATTCAAGCTCTACTAGGAAATTCTTGTTTCTCTTTGCTTCCCTCTCAAGCTTCTCTACTCATTGTTTTATATACCACTATACTTCAGTCATGAAATACATGTTCATTAAAACCCTTGAATGTTCCTGTCATTGCTCATACATTATGATATAACATTCAAGTTGAGTGGGTAAAATATTCTGTTCTGAAATGGGAAAATATGGGGAATAAATTTATAATATAGAGCTGAAACTGTTGTATTTTGGAATATTTCCAGTACTTTTATGGAAGTTTAGATTATTATCTTGAGAGAACCACTGCAGTATATTCAGTTATAAAATTGACCTGAGGCAAAGAAGGGGAGAGGATTTCAGTTCTCATCTTTGAGAATTTTGAATTCCCAGGTTTTGAATCCTAATCAGCTTTATCACGATCTTCAGTGAGTCATCTCATGAACACTGAGATATGTGTTCCTGCAGTGTGATTCTTTAATATGTGTCAATTGATGGTCTGTGTAGAAGATGTCAAAAGTTAGAATAGTAGGCAAAATACAAGATACTATATAAGGTAACTGGCTATATAAGTGAAAATGTACTTTGTAAGTACCAAAAACAATAATGTAAAAAACACCGAACATTTGACATTATAGTAAAAATCTAAGTTTCTCAGACTTTTAAATTAGTAGTGAAAGAATGCCTTCAAGTATTTCATGTTGTAAACACAGAATAAAAATATGAATAAATGTTCATTTGATAAAGTTGATGCAAGTTAAATAAATTGGTAAGACATAGGGCAACATATGTGTTCCTTGCAGCCGTTGGTTCCCCTCTGTGTAAGGAAATGGTAGTCTGCAAGGTTCATATGTTTCTAAAAATTGCTTTTGAGTAAAATACTGGAAACTGAATCTTAAGCTAGTTAAAATTGACTAGCTAAGTGGAATTAGTGTTATTATTATTAGTTCATTTGTTGTGTTTGCTCTCATTTGAATGCAATTGCAAATAGTGTCACCTGGAAGTTACAAAGCCTCTTTATCAAAAGGGTTCACCATTTTGTTTTGCTTAATTTTGAGATTTTCTATGAAGAAGAAATTGCTCACATATTTTACTCTTTTCCCTTGAAATGTTCAAGTTGTTTTTGAATTCCTCAAAAATACACAAAATAAGTTAGGTCTGATTTTACTGATAAAGAGGATATGAAATATTTCAGAACATCATTTCAGTCTTAGTTTTTCCAGGATTTGCGTTACTTATTAGTTTTATTGATATTTGTAGTAACTAGTATAAACCTCTGACTGCATCCATAGAATGATAAACTACTTTAGGCTGGAAAAAACATTCAAAAAACTGTCTGCTTTCACTCCCTATTTAAAGCAGGGTTTTGCTATTCCCCAGTAAATATATAAACAATGAAACATATTTTGGAGAGTAAATCTTTATAGGTATAGATTTCTGTGCTTTCTATCAGCATTTTTATAATTGTACAATGCCACCATGCGTTAGCAGGACTAGATATGTCTACAACAGAGTCACCAAAGTGACTGCAATGCCATGTGCAGATATTTAAGCAAACCGTAAGCCTGTGACTTTCGGTAGGTGTAGCAGTGTGCACACAGGAGTGTGGAGCACAGAGTGCCTGGAATTGCAGCAGAGTTCTCTGCTTTGTCTGCTTAGCTGAGTCAGCTGGTAGAAAAGTAGCTCAGACACTGATGTATTCCAATTTAGTCATGCCTGTCAGTGGCACGTGGATATACTTGTAGTTATCACATATACCACAGGGTGATGTGCATGTGAATAGATCATATGAGTGTATGCATGTATGTGTATATATTACATATATATATAAATCATGATACAATATTACTGCAACACAAAAGTCTTTAAATATCTTTATTTCCTTTTTTTTTTTTCTTTTTCTTTTAACCAGAGTACCTAAAAGCATTATGTTCCTGACTTTTAAAAACTATAGCAGTATATATTTTTAAGTTAACTTTCCTTAGAGGTATAGATGAGTGATTTGGTGAGTTATCCCATCACCAGTTTATGTAGACATTTGACAGCTCCTTCCCATTTTCCATTGCAATATTCATGACTCAAATTTAAGTTTGCTTGGTACTAAATCTCAGTTGTTTGTAGACATGCTTATTTGTGTTATGCTAACAGAGGATCTTGTGTCTGTGACTAAACAGCAAAGTTCCTATAGCTAGTAGAAGAATAACATGTCCGAGGATTGAAATCCAGCAGCCATCCACAGACACTGACAGGTATTGCCTTTGTATATTAGCTGGAGTTTGAAATTATGGTAATTAGACAGTGTATTGTTGTATTTTTCTTGTTCTGTGCTCGGTGTTTCTAGATGAAAAAAGATGCACTAGGAGCTGAATTGTAGTGTACTGTAATCCTACAGCTATTCTATTTTTATTTCTTCAGTTTTTTGTTACAATAAAAACCTAATACTAAAATTTTGATTGGCATGATCTCTTAGCTTGTACACAGTAAAAAAAAGTTAACATGGGCTTTCAAATAAAGTGTTTTCAGTCATTCTGGGGAAAAAAACCCTTATACTTGTTTTGTAAGCTGTTACAATTGCTTACTGCTGGAAAATGTTCATCTTTTATAAAGGTTCCTCTATAGATAAGTTTAGATCAATGAGTATAATCATTTGTTGAAAATTCTGTTTAATTGTTAAGAAAAGTAACAAATCTGAAAAACTAAAAAATAGAAATGGTTATTTTCTGCATTGGGAAAAGAGTTAGCGTTTGAAATTTCCAGACTATGAATATAGAACAATGCAGATAAATGAGTAGATCAAATAAAGTGTGGTAGCACCTTTGGTTAGATACTGTACTGCAGTAACTAGAGTTTACAGTGGTACCTAAATACTATGGGATTCTAGTTCTAATATTTGATGGGTTTGGAATATAAAGTTAGATCGTGAATACTCATGAGACTTTCCATGCAGTAGTGACTTGCAGAGAGCTCAGTCTCAAGGCCGGCTTGGTTTAGAAGCAAACACTTACTTCTGTACTCTTTCTTCTGTGTAGGGGAGAGTCAGCTCACAAGACTTGCATGCTTTGACAAGGGAATAGACCATCTACCATGCATGCTTTCCTTAGCAAAGGTAGAAGGATGCTACAGTAGGCAATACTAAATGGAGGTCATTATTTGACATTTCATTAATTGTATTTTCATAATGAAAGGTCTGTTAGCAAAGATAAACAGTGCTAGTGTACATTAAAATAATATATGGATGTTGAATAGTTTAACTCAGATTATCATATTTACCTCTTTAAAAATTAGGAATTCATATGATATGACTTTATGAGAAAAAAGGAAAGTTTCATCTAGATAATTTCTGAGAATGTCTTCAAGAATGATATCTGAAAAATTAGGGACCTGTTTTCAGTTTAGCTTGCTCTCCATACTTGTGGCTGGATTGTGATATTAATGCATAGTTGTATTCAGTGGTAAGGGAGGACCTTCACTACCCAAGCAGCTTATTGGAATGATAGTTTTTCTATAAAAGGGACAGTTTTTTTCTGAACATTGGGATCATATATTACATGTGTTTACTGTTAAAAGAACAAAAGAATAAGTGAGGATGAAGAATAGACAGTAAAACTATCTATTGAATTGTTGTTTATGTGTGTATGGTGTAAAACCACAAAGTGAAACTTTCAAGCGGAAGAAAGTCCACTTTGCTATGGTGATTTTTAAGAGGATTGCATCATGTAGCCTGGAACTTCAGAGTGACAACTCAGTTTCATCTCAGGATTTAAATTAGTCTTCAAATCCTGCAGTCTACAAAACAACAGCAGTGCCAAAGCTTCAAAGCAAAATGTTCATTGCCAAAATTCACGCTCTCCTTCACTTCTGGAAACTCCTGGTTGTTTTTCCCCTTGAAGTAAATGCCAACTGCAGGTTGTAGCAAGCCAAATATTTATGTTAGCCATGGAATATGAAATTTTTATCTGTTAGCATAGTGATTAGCTACACTGGCTCCATGATGCTCTGCAGAATACGAAACCTGCACACCAAGCCATTAGTATTAATCCTAATGGTAAAAATGCCTCCCTGCCTTCTGATACAGGAAATGGGTCAGATCCCTAAGATCCTAAAAATACTTTTTATACCTAAAGAGATTTTTATACCTAATGAGGCCTTAAGAGTGACAAGTGAGAGTCTTGACTTCTCATGAAGTGTTTATGAGAATCATGTGGTTGCTACTCACCTGTTCCTCTATATGTCTCCTACTTGGTGTTGGAAGAAGAGAGAAATAGAAAATTAAATGATACCTCTCACATATTGCCCAGTTGTTGCTGGTATAGCCTAGCAGTCCTCCACTCACTGACAAGAGAAAGGGTATTCTAGCTATGTGTGTCTGACAGACCCATAGAAGAAAGTTTCTGTGGGCTCACTAATTTTCTTAAATATGTGGGTAAACAAGATAGGGGTGGGTTTTCTGGACCTTAGCCATATTCTCTTTTGTAACTTTGTTGAATTTAGGAATATTTTTTCTTGAAATTTGCTTCCATAGTCAAAGAATGTATTCCGTGGTCATTTTTTTAACCATCATGTAGATGGCCGACACTTTTCTCACCTTCTATAACACTGAAAGCTCTCTTAAACAGTTACATAAACTAAAAAGCATTCATATTAAAGCTAAGGTTGTGTTTCTTTGTCTATCAACAATGTAAAAGAAGCGAGACAGTGGATGTTTTTGCTGATGAAGCTTCCCATTCAGAAACAGAGCTGATAGAAGAAGAATTGAGGTAATTTTGTCGTGGTTTTGTGCCAGGCTCATTGTACTTTTTCTCCAATCTTTAGTGCCTCAGCTTATAATTACCATTATGTGTCTCACTGTGGTGTGTTCGCTTGTTAGGAGCTTATAGATATAGGTTCATGATGTGTGGTATTATTCTGAATCTGTCTGTGGCAATTCCTTCGTATGCTCTGGGAGTCCAGTGATGACCTCATGGAAGGCCTGAAGAGACATTGCTTGTAATGACTGTTTTAGTAACCCATTCAGCAAAGTTAGCCACTATATTATTTTTCAATGTTCTTTAGAAATAAATGCTGTTACTAACATAAAACTCTTCATAATGAGGTGTGTCTCTCTCTCTCTCGATACCGATTAAAATTTGACTTCTTGTTACACTTAATTGCCATCCAGCCACTCATTGTATTAACTGACTCCATTGTAAAAGGCATGACTTAGCTAAAGGAAAAGTCCTGAAGGGTACACATTCCCCATTTGTATTCTGTAGCTGTTCAGTTACACAAGGAGAGCTGGGAGGAGTGTGAATTTAAAAAGTAGTTCCATTAGGATATGGATTTTACTTTTAAATTGCCTTGATTTAATGTATTTTTGAGATGTTGCTAGTAAATATTACTCCTTTCAAACAGACCGATTACATTGTGAAAAAAGATGGGGTTGATTATTTTCTGAAAAGAATGGCTCGATTAATTGCCTAATAGTAAAAGACCAAACTGCTTGATCAAAAAGTTCTTTTTTTGCTCAGTCTGATTTCTCCCCATTGCTTCTCTAATGATAACTTTTTCCATTGCTGTTTTAGTACAGTTCCATAGACTGTGAGTTAGGAGAATTTTTTTTTTTTGTTACAAACCAAACTTTTTCTAGTTGTTGGAACTTCTGCAAGTACTAATGATGCACCATCACTATCGTCCAGTCTATATTTCGACAGATATTCTGAGTTTAGTAATAATTAACAGTGCTACAAGATAATTATAACATCCTAAATGTGGACTTTCCTACAAACAAGAGTACTACCTCTAGAGATAATGCAATATAAAAAAACCCCACCTGCTAATATGAGGAATAGTGCAAAATTAAACTACACAATTAAAATTGAACTGCACAATTAAATGAGTCCTTAGCTTTAGTGAGACTTAATATTATGTCAGCTAGTCTTTTCTTCCCAGGTTGATATATTAATTGACACAAAACAACATTTTAATGTCAGGAAACAGACTATTGCATGGATAGTCATTGCTGAGACATTGGAAACATTTCAGCCCATTTATCAAGAGCAAGTTATATGGAGCAAGTTAAATCATACATGTATAAGAAAAATGTATGTTATCACGAATTTCTATCAGAAAATTTACTCCCCCCAAAAATATACATAACAAAATGATTTGCTCCAAACCAGTATCATGCAGCATATTTTATATATAGAAAAGTTCATCTGAGCTGCTTTTTGACTAACATTACAGGAATTGTGAAGCAGCAGATAGACAGCCATATCAAAGATCCAGATCAACAGAGCAACGTCCTATGCTAGAGCGGACCAACTCCCGCTCCCGATCCACAGAGCGTCCTGACTCAAACCTCATCAGGTCGATGCCTTCATTAATGACTGGAAGATCTGCCCCTCCTTCACCTGCCTTACCGAGGTGAAACAGACAAATCAATCAGACTAATCCCCTTCTGCCCCACCAGCTCACCATTTTATTTTCCCAGTAGCCAATTGGTATCGCCTCATCCTTAGCTGATCACTAGTAGCAATAGATACTAACACTTTCAGTGCCAACACACTACTTATATTCAACTCTGGATATAATGGTGTGGCTGCCATTGCAAATCATTTGCTAGCTGTATTTAACTACATTTGTTTATGATTTCTCATTTATCAGGAATCCTGGATGGTTTCCCACATAAAGCACTTTCATAACTTTCATATTCTTCTCTTACAGAATGAGAAATTATTTGTGTTCATCAGACATTGCTTATGGAACAACCATCATAACATCAAATGAAACTATTTTTTTTTAAAAAAGTTTCTTTAGATGGACTGTACTAACTTTGTCTATTAATTATCATTTTAACCACCATTTTCTCTGACTACATTTTACTGTGCCATAGTCTGTATTGTTCCTGTTTGAGTACCCCTGATTGATATTTTGAGGATTTTTATGCATTATTCTTAGCTTAAATAAACATATTACAATAAAAAAAATGAGTGCATTTTGCTCTAGTTGATGTTCAATAAAGCCTCTCCTTATTTTAGAACTGCAGAATACATTCTTTTGTTTTCTGAAAGTTACAGTTATTAGCATCAAATCCCCAGTGAGAGTTAGAGTCAAATATCAGTGTCTTTTCTCAGTTTATTACTTTGTTTAGACAAATCCATGTAATCTCATTGCCACTTAAATGTAGTTTAAGCAAATACATGCTGAGTAAAGATCATTGAATTTGACTTGTGGATAAATTTATGTGTATGTGGGTATTATATTCATATGCACATGAATATGCACACAACACATTTTCTGGCTTGACTGTATGAACAAGCATCTTATAGATGTTCAGACCTAGTTTGGCTTCTTTTTCATGGAGAGATTTCTGTTTTTTAATAAGGTCTTTTTTCTGAAATGATATAATAGTTTCACTCTGGGACTGCAAGGGCCCCAAGTGATGTAAAGCCTACTTAGTCATGTTATCAGTTCTTGATGATATTTAAGGATGAATTTGTCATTTAAAGGCTGTGGTTTGTTTTGATATGTGTCTCATAGGTCACATCCTCGATCTGGGTCTGTTCAGACAAGTCCATCAAGTACTCCAGTAGTAGGGCGAAGGGGCAGGCAGTTACCACAGCTCCCACCCAAGGGGACGTTGGAGAGAAGTAAGTGTGTGGTTTTCTCCTTAATGACACTACCAAATTACTCATGAAGGTTGGTTATATTTATTATTTTCCTTTTGCCATTGGAGTTGAAATCTCTTGAGTTTTTTTGTACAGAATTAGGATTTGATAGTAGTATTGCATTTTGTACTGTGTTTTCTTCTATCATGTTTTAATATATGCAATACTCTTGGCTGAAATGATTCACCAGCAATACACATGAACCAAGGTGGACTATTGGCATGATCCTGTTCCTTCTGAACTCAATAGGTGTTTTGTTTGTGCCAGGCTTCAACTGGCACAGGCAATGGTCTTTTGTATGTTGTTTCATGATAAAATTCTGGCTCTTTTGGAAGTCAGAAACATAGTTGATCGCTTGTGGGTTCACATGTAGTGTATTAAAGATCACTAATATAAAACATCTGCTTCTTGAAACAGGAAGAACAAGAAGAGAAGTAATAATCTTTAAAATGGGAAAGGTCAGAAAGATATTTCATGATTCATGTTTTACTGGTACTCTAATTGAGCTTATCATTAATGTCTGTTAAAAGCACTGGTTGATTGAGATATGTTCCGAAATGTTTAGAAACAGGGGCATATAAACACATTTTTGATAGCAAATATATATTCACCTTCATCTTCTAATAATTAGATGTGCTGTGCAAAATCAGTCTAAATGGACATATACACTCTTTTTTTTTAAATCCTTCTTAACATGTATATTGTACCTTTTATAAAACTTATGTTGTTTTTAACCCCTGTGCTTTGGTTCCTTTTTGTTTGTTTGTTTGTTTGTTTTGTTTTTGTGACTTTCCCTAGACAATGGAGACAAGGAGATAGAATCTTATGAAGGTCTGTACATAAAGAAGGGCTTGTTTTTCACCTGAAAGCCTTTTTCAGAGGCTATATAGGGAAAAATAAACCCAACTGCAATTGATGTTACTTGATTGCAGAGACACAATCAGAATTATTGTCATAATTATTTAGTGTTTGCTTTTAGACCTGTGGCTCATAAATTGTACATGAAAGGGTAAAAATAATACTATCTAAATATGATTGTCATTAAAAAAGTACCTAAACATGGACCCATTTTTAAAGACAAAGATTTTATGCTACAGCAAATAAGGGCATTTCAGCTAACCTATGTATGTATGTACCTTTCCAGGATTAGCAGATATTCAGGCACATGTTTAAATATAAGCCTTTGAAGCTATTTGACATGTGTAATATTAGCCATGCATTTGATCAAAACAATGCTTTTATTGTAAATATATGATAGTGTGATACATGTGTGAAATTACAAGGTCATTTTTGAAATAATATAGGGACAAAAATTAATTGAATTAATTATACCTTTCAAAAAGGTATAATATTTTTGCCAAAAATTAAATCCCCTTCTATTTTGTAACATTAAACCCATTTAATTTACTTAATAGCAAGCCACAAGATATCAATTGCAGTCCTTGGTTATACCACTGAGGGTCTTTATGTAGTATTACTGCATCTGTCTCATCAGACTTTTTAATATAATATTTAAAATGTTTTCAGTATTTATTTCCGTTTTGGAAACAAAAACTGCATTAAAAGAAAACTCTTGTTTTCTCAGATAACCACCCAACTATATTCATTTCTTTGTTGTCTTATATGTTGTAAATTGCTTATATGAAATACAGTCTAGATATGCCAGGAAATAATCACATCTAATCACATGATATTTGCTGTCATTGCTGTAAATGCTTTTATGTTTTACCATTCTTCCCTGCTCTTTGCTTAGCATATCTATTTAGACTGTGAGCTCCTTAGAGCAGCAACTGTGAAGTACTGCATATTTTTACTGTGTTTAATTAGAGAGGGTAGCAGTCTTATTTATTATTTACTTCATAGGTTCTATAGAGAGAAATATAATAAATACAATAAAATAATTATTTTTTATAGGAGTGCTAGAATTGTTTGCTCTGGTAAGTACTGCTGGGATTTGAGGAACTCTGTTTTTACTTGAAGACTGAGTAATATTTTCTTTTACCTCTGTCTTTTTGAAAAAAAGTAGTCTTTTGGAAAATCTGGGTTATGAAAATTGCCAAGTCCACAGATGTTGAAGTTTTAATGTACAATAAAAGCATCATCAGTGACTCAAGATACAGTAATTAGATAGATTTCATTTTGAATTTACACGTGTAAAGACGGTAAACCCTGTTAAAAACATAATCCATAGATTCAGTTTTCATACAGTATCCTATATAATTTTTTCTGTTGTGAATTAAGAGCTTATATTCTAATACCAGTAAAGTTCTCCTTTGAGGCTTTTTCCCTCCTTCTATAGGATTTTCTAATAATTTTCTTTAAGGAAAGTAATAATTTTCTTTAAAAAGCATAGTGCTCTACAAGAACAGCAGATTACCTAACTTCTGCCAGTGACAAAACGTAATTAAGATTAATAGCAGTCTTTTTACTGTGGAGAATTGATTTTTACAGAAAGTTATTTTAAGCAAATGAAGTACCAGTTATAAAAACTGATATGTAATAGAATCGGAAACACTGACTATCGTAGAAGAAGTTTATGCCATTATTTAACAAATAAAGCATCAAGTAAACCTGAAAGCTTTATAGGCATTTGAGTAGATTTTAATGTGTTTTTATATGCCCTTGGGATAATCAAAACGGTTGAGTGTTGTTGGGAAAGCCTAATGACCATAGCAGAAAATGCCATTGTCACAGAATAGGCCTTTCTGCTCTTACAGAAACAGAGGCATTTCTGTATTGCTTGGAAACACACTGTGAAGGTTAACCTTTCTGTATTCTGAAATCTAGGATTTTATTGTTGACCAGATTAAGTTAAAATCATACTGAGGAAAAGAGTTAATTAAAGATACATTACAGACAAAGAGGAATTTGAAGTCATCTCAATTTTTAAAAAGAGAAAAAGCAAAAAGGAAAAACTTATCTGTTGTTAACTTCTACAGTAGTCTCATTTAGTTTGCATAATAATCTGTATTTTTTACAGGGTTGAAAGTGCATACTTTTCTTAAAATGTAGTAGAAGAAATGGCAGAACTCAAGTAGAAATAAGGAAGTAATTTGCTGTTGGAGATATTTTTTGCTATAGTGCAGTACTCAGTAGAATGTGGAATATGGTGAGATTATGGTTGTATGACTAGAAATGGAAGGGAAAGAATCTACAGGGGAAAAAAATACTCCTCTGGGTAATGGCTTTCATAATTAGGATTAGAATTAAAATACCTTGATTTGGGTTAGATTTAGTTCCATGAACTCTGTTATGTAGTTGCAAGATTTTGCTCCAGGGCATGTAGGTTACCCCAGAATACTTTATTTCAAAATTCTGAAATAGCTAGAGCTTTGTTCTTAAGAAATCTAGCTGTGAAGGACCATTCCTATCTGTAGTGTATGGTCTCATACATATTTTTATCAGTGTCCCACATACTGTCTAGGAGAACATGCTTAGCTGTGTTGTGTTTACAGTCTTTTATCATCATGGTATTTTGGCTAATTCCTTAACTTCCCACTGCTGTGTTGCTTCCAGTATCAGATTTACCTTTTCAGGAGAAAGACTGAGTACTTCTGAAATGCATGTCATTATCTTATCTACCCAGTGTAGATAGCATTAGCATCGAGGCAGTTTGGGTTTTGCTTTACCCTTTTTTAATTTAGTAGACTTTCATGTTAGGTGGTTAGAAGGTAGTTCTGAAAAGATGTCTGGGACCACTTAAGTTTTTACTAAATTTTCACTACTGAATTGCCAATACACTTTTTTTTTTTTTCCCCCCAGCTGAACATTTGTATATCTTTAAATTGTGCTAGAGATAGAGCCATCTTGTTTAAATGAACATTTGTAGGAAAACAGTATTATTAAATTGAAATTGTTTTTAGCAGTGAAGTGTTTAATTACTCTTAAGTGTTCTGTATTATTTGCTCTATAGACAATAAGTGAGTACTGCAATATTTATGGTTCTTAAGGGCTAATGTGATTTTTTTCATTTATATGTGGCTATAATATATTTCTTTATTCTTATTTGCCTTGGTAGAAGGATGAAATCAATCACAGCTCGCTGCTAATTAAAATGGAACACCATAGAGTGCTCTTGAAACTATTCAGTATTCATCCTTTCAGTTTGTTGTTAATTACTAATCAGAGAGATTTTTTCCTAATATAGATTTTTCCTTTTCCTCTTAAAAATAAACATAGCCCTTTCTTTCTTCATTCCCACAAAAAATCCCCCAGCTCTCCATCCAACCATAAAAACTAGAAAATTATATTAGACAAAAAATGGAATAAAACCTTAAAATATGAAAATAAAGTGCTCAGAAATTTAGCACATAGTAGAGCTCAGTGAGGATTTGCCCTTCTATTTATGCTTTATGGTACAGACTTTAATTACATGATCTCATCATAATCTTGTGTCTTGGGAAAGTTATTTCAGAGGTTTTTAAAGCCTGACACTAATGCTGATTAACTGTCCTCTTAACTTCAGGTATGGGTGATTTTGTTCCAGAATAAAATTAGCTATGAATGGAATTAACAGGAATACTTGATTAGGTTTAATCAGGAATAGCTAGCAACCATAATTCCAGTTTTTATACCTTAAAAAGAACAATGTCAATGTACTCTTGTTGTAACTCATGCAGCATGGCGTAACTCATGGCGTGCGAGTTACTGAGGCAGTCCAACGGATAGGAAACACAGATGCCCTTGGCAGAAACACATGCTGTTTATTTTAAGGGGTTTTATCTTATTCAGAGCATAATTTCTTTGTTAAATGAGACATAGTTTTGCAAAATGAAAAGGAATTTTATTGTGTGTTTTCCAATGCCCTACAGTTTGATGGGAAACAGAGAAAGACTATTTTAATGCAATTGCACAGAACCTGTATTAACACTGGTCATAATTCTATCATACTCTATCAGCTGTGATTTCAAGTGTTTTTAAGAATATATGGCATATGGGTACTTTATTTTATAAAAGGTGATTGATCACATGCATATAATATAGGATAAGAGGTTGGATTACCTTCAGCTTGGCTATGAACTTGATGACTTAGTCAAATACAGCAGTCTGAAAAAATGAAGGTACATAGCTTTGCACCCACCCATTTTTTGTGTGGACACTTCTGTGGTACTGCCTGTATATTGTTAGACACCTTTGTGCTTGCACAGCATAACTTGCATCATATGTGCTTGAAAGCAAAGTAAAGAGATTAGCTTAGTTAACATCAGTAACAAGGCTTCCTTAGGATACTGCCTGAATCACCTTGGGTTTTTGACTTCAACAAAGAACTTTCAACAATACAAAAAAAGCCTTTGGGTTTTACTTGTGGATGCTTAGTTCACTTTCCTGAGAGGCAGCAGAGACCTCAGCCCCTGAAGAATATTAAAATATTTTATTTGCATTGGTACAATTTTGACAGAAAAACTTGAAAAAATTTTACTAAATTGAAGAGCTTAACGTGCTTACTTGAAAGGTTCTGACTTTTCAAGGGAGGTCATAGTTTATCATTTTACCTCGGATTGGCCAAAGTGGGAATTAAACAGCTTTATGAAATTTGAAGGTCTTACTATCTAGTTCTGAGACCACAAAGGGTATAACGAAAAAATGGCTGAGGGGTCATAAAACTGTGCTCACAATAGCCATTGTTTGCTTATGTTTCAGGGTACCAACATGCCAAAACCACTTCAATTCTACTGAAATTGATTTTTTTAAAGTCTTAGACACATCTTCTATATGTTTGACTGTATAGATTATGTCCCTTCTGAATATTTTAATTGGAATTTTCAGTGTCATGATTTCAATTGGAATTTAAATGCCATGGTTTTATCACAGAATTATAGAGCAGAAATCCA